CGGACTTTGTATAAAGGGCAAAGATGGGTCCAGAAAAGGGCAGGCGGCACTCCTAGTCCTAGATTCAGCCGTCCCCGGTGACCGGCTGATCACTAACCTAGGTCGTGTCGTGTGCTTTCGTGGTGCCATTTCAAAAAAGAATAAAGTAAAGAGAAAATTAAGAGTAAGAGAACCGACGGTTACCTGAACGAGTGACGATTGATGAAGTTATGAAAATCCTTTGCAGTCGGCTTGTCAGAGCAGGCGATAGGCAGAAAGGGTCCAAAATGTCAGAGCAAGTTCAGGGGTCCGAATGTTCTCTCACAAAGTTTTCAAGTGTGAAAATGACCGAAGTCAACACTCCTTTATATAGGCGAAGTGAGAAGGCGAAGGGTCACTTCCAGAATTCAAAATTTTGGCGGGAGAATCTCTCGGCCTCTCGCCGAGTGACACCTGTAGCAGGCCGTCGCCTGTTACAGGGCGATACCTGTCACAGGTAACACGTGACCAGTCACGTGCCACCTGTGAGGGGCAAATGATTAGGGGATTTTTCCCCACCAATCACCATCTGATAAGTGGACCAATCAGGTTCCGCCATGTGTCCGTCACATGGGCCAATAGGAGCCTGCCACGTGTCAAGCAATGATCCGTCCACTATGGACCAATTACGACACGACACGTGTCCTTCCCATGACACCTGGGATAACCGGTCACCTAGGCCCAACTTCCGAGGGAAGCCCAATCAGCCCAAGGTTAACCTAAACCTAGATTGGCACGTTTCCCGAGGTTATAAATACCTCCCTTAATCCTCATTAAGGGAGATTACGCAAAAAACGCAGATTACACACATTAAACACTCTCACCTAGAGAGACTCAATCACTTTAATTTCCGCATTAATTACTCCTTAATCAAGTACTAACTTGACCGTCGGAGGCGGATCTCCAATCATCCGGAGCATCCGTTTGTTTTGCAGGTACAGGCGTCCGGTTCCAGTCTCGGAATTGTAACTCTCCCGCAGGACATCAAAAAACCCCGAAACAGTTTTTATAAAACTTTGTATTTTTTTCCCTTTTTCAATGTTCAAAGATAATTTTTTCTATGAATTTTAATATTTTTAAATTTTATCATGTGTCACTTCTTTTTTTCAGATCTCGATTTTATTAAGTTTATGTAGGATTTTAATACTTTTCAATTTTTTTTTTTCTGAAATTTGTTTTTGAATTTTTGGGTGATTGGTGTTTAATCGTTTTTTAAGAAGAATTGTGTATCAATATTTTGTTTGGATTTTGTATAAGATTTGCATAATTAATTTTCTTTTACAATGTTTAAAGATCGAGTTTTTATAATTCTATTTTCAATATTTTTTATTTTGTTATATATATTTCCGTTTCATTTTTTAAGATCTCAATTTAAATTTATTTATTTTTTACTAAATTTTTGTCTATGATTTTCGTTCATTGTGTTTTTAGTACTGTTTTTGTAAATTTGAACTAGATTTGCTAAACAATTTTTTTTATTTGATCTACTTTTAATTATGTTTTTAAATTATTATTTTCACTTATTGCTAGAGTAGTTAGTTATTTGTATTCTTTCCTTGATGCTACATTGTACTTTCATTATATAATAAAATTACGAGTACCTATTTTTAATGTTCAAAATGTTCGTTTTCACATAAGCTAGACTCTATATTGAGTTTTGTTTTTTTTTTGTAAAATCTTTTTCTAAATTTTACATTCTACTCCACTATATATTTTCTCTTTAATAATCGATTTTGATTTTCTAATCTATTTTTTCAGTTTTCTATTTCTCTTAAGTAATGTTGATTTGATTTATTTGGTGATTTTATGAGTTTGTAGGTGAAAAATTCAATATTCAACAGAGGAACAATATATATATTTGGATGGAAACTACAATATATCAATTTTGTGAAGAGGCAATTGGAAGCATTTAATAAGAATTTCATATGATTAGTTTTGTACAGATAATTTTATTTTCATTGTACTCTCATACTGTTTTTTTATTTTTTTATTTTTTTGGAGAAAATAGTGTTTCTTGATATTAACTAAAATAACATAAATAATAAAAATCTTAATAGAAGTATTAGTGTTTGATTAATGTTTAATGACTTTATTATAAATTATTTTGTATTTATCAATTTATCATTTAATACATCTTATGATGTAGTTTTTTTATTTATTTTTGGATTAGAATATATCGCATTACATTTACATAGTATTTTATGTTACTAACAAAATACAATATAATTTATATTTACATATGTTTTGATTTTAAAAAAACCTAAGAACAATTTAAATACACAATAGTAAAATTATTTAATTGAAAAACATATACTTTCTATTTAGCCAACAAGTTTAACCCGTGCATCGCACGGGCTAAATACTAGTTAATTAAAAAGAGTTACAAGAACAGTAATATAGAAAGATTCAATTTAAAATCTTGAATACACTTCTAGAACATTAACCAACTATTCCATATGCTAAATGACATCCTTACACGATGTAAGACTTTGAATGCATATGTTAATCTAATTCGGCAAAGATCGATTTATGTTGCAAAATTGTAATAGTTGTCATTGTTATATAGTTGCTGCCTTGCTAGTAGTCATTTGTCAAAGTAACAATGTAATGTAATGTGACTAATGTCCTCCATACTGACATACTGTTTATTGTTAAATTTGTTATGATTCCAAATTCCAAAAGCTATTGCAATCTAAGACGACTATCAATGGTGAGCTAAAAATTTGCTCATGGGTATTTTGGGTGCGCATAAAATTTGCTCATGCATTACAATGGTGAGTAAATGAGAAAAAGCCAAAAAATGCTCATGAGCATTTCTGAAAATGCCCAAGACTTGAGCATTTTTGAAGATGAATAGTGCTCTGGTGGACCCCATAATTTGCAATGGTTATATTTTTTGTAATGCAAATTCTGAAATAAATATTTATTAAAAAAAATTAAAATTACCAACGGTCATAAAATTTAATTCTCTATAAATAGACATGCATTTTGGTATATTTTGGTATAATTTCAGAAATACCATAAATCCTCCATATTCTTTATTTTAACGATAAAAACGACACAAATAAAAAAAATAAGTTACACAAATATAGACTAGTTTTTATTTATTTGGAGTAATATTGTTAAAATATAAATGAAATTAAAAATAAAGAAATGTTGTGTAGGAGAGAGAAAGTAATGGTGGGGTATTGAAAAAGTAAGAGAAAGAGAGTAGTGGACAAGCATTTTTTTTGCTCACCATTGGGAGAGAAATTGTGAAAAAAATTTGCCCGGCAAAACAGATTTGTTGAGAGAGAAAGTGGGTAGAGAGATAGTGGGTGGACATTTTTTTTGCTCACCGTTGAGAGTGGTCTAACATCCCCTTTAAATGACATCTGTTTACACAAAAGTCATACTGATTGAAAAGTTATGGTTGCCAAGTCATGTTCCAAGAAAATTTAAGCTATAAATGACCTCAATTTTAAATAAAATAGATAATTATAGCCAATCACAATTGCCCATGAAGCTACGCATTTCTACAATGATGTCTACATACGCGTATCTTCTACGTTCTACTAGCAATTATTTTAATATAAGTATAATTAGGGAAATGATTTTGGCACACCATAAATTGATTTTGACACATGCAAAGTTTTTTATACTCTTCTTACATGGAGGTATGACAATATCAATTAAGGGTGTGCCAAAATCAATTTCCCATAATGGCATTAGTTTCATACGTTTGCAAAGTATTTTTTTCACTTTTATTTTAATATATAAATTGTGTTTATGTCGATCATTTTTTAATAGGAAAATGTATTTATTAATAAAAAGTCCTAAGTCATTTATAAAAAAATTTGAAATTAACAAGCACATAATATATTGAATCAAATAAAAAACCCTTCAAATAAATTATGACAAATGCACACTATGATAAATATAACCCCTTATGTCTATCAAAAGGATTATAAAGAAATAACAATTCATGTTGATATGGAATTTAAATAACACCCTGGGTAAACGATATTCACATTTGAAATTTAGTTTCTATTTACATTTTACAATTAAAAATCTTTAAATTATTCCAAATACATAAGAAAAATATAGTCAAGTAAAATTTTATTTGATTTACATTGATGAGTACTTTTATGATATCAAACTTATAATACATATAAATGATGCATTAGGAAAATATTATGTAAAACAAAAATATAAATAAATATTAGAAATATACAAAACAATTTAGGACACTTAAAATAATATACAAACACTATATTATTAGGATAAATTACGTGCATTGTTTAGCGGTTCACTATTAATCTATTATTATGAGCTGAAAAGACTAATAATAAGGTGACAATTAAATCTGGACCAATGGACAACATTTTAAGACACATGAACCTCATTAATATTGGACCGCTTTCGGAAGACAATTAAGACAACAAATTCTGAGGCCCATATAACATTAGTCCCAATCACTTTTTCATTTTGTCCGTTTTTCTTCTTTTTGGCAGTTGTTCTTCATATTCCCATCATTTTTTAGTTTCTAAACTCAAAGCCTCCATAATAATTAATTACAATACTTGTAATAATTACTTCATATTAGCCCTGTTTGGCAAAACTAACAGTAGTGGAAAGCACTTAACGGTCGAGCAACAAGTAGCTGTTATTAGTAGTGGGTAGAGATTAGCTGTGAAGGTAACGGTTGATAGTACGAGTGTTTGGCAAAAGTAGCGGTTGCATTACTAAAATATAGTAATAATAATATAAATTGTTTAAAAAAGTAATCAAAAATTAACAAACGCTACCCGCTACTCTTAAACACTACTATTTTTAACGTTTGAGAAAAGCTACCTAAATGCTACCTCTACCGCTAATCGCTACTCACACCGCTACCTTGCCAAACACTTTTATTTTTTTCTGATAGTATTTTGACTGGTCTAAAAGCTAACCGTACTTTTATAAAGTCCAGTTGTATGTTTGTTCCGCGTTTGGTTGATTCATATTGACCCCACTGAATTACATACTTTCATTCAACGGAAACAAATCTCCTGTGATTTTCAGACCCAAACACAAACAGGGTATTACAAATACAAAGTTGAGAGGAGCGAGAAAGTGAAGGAAGAGTGAGTGAAAATGGCGAATGCAGAAGAAAGTGAAGAAATGAGTTTGGAGTTTACACCAACTTGGGTTGTTGCTGTTGTTTGTTTCATTATTATCGCCATTTCTCTTCTTGTTGAACGATGTATTCATTATGGTGGAAAGGTAAATTTTCCCCCAAAAAAAAAAAAAAAAAATAATTTTTGTTTTTTTATTGATTCCCAGATTATGTTTAACAGTGTTGATGATTTTATTGATTTTTGATTTTTGATTTTTGGTGGTGGGGTTTGATTTACAGTTATTGAAGAAGAAAAATCAGAAGCCCCTTTTTGAGGCATTGCAGAAACTTAAAGAAGGTAGAAATTTGATCTTTTTTTTTGGGTTAAAGTTATTAACTTTTAAGGTTGTTCTTTTTGTTTTGTGGGGTTTTGAATTGAAGAATTATTGTGTTTGTTTTTTTCTTTGATGGGTTTGTTTTGATTCTAAATGGGTTTTTTGAAAATAGATACTGTAATTAATTTTAAGTTTGTGTTTATGACTTATTGTGTTATCATTATTTGCCATTTTCAACTTTATATCTTTTCAGGATTAGTAACTGATGTCAATTGTTTTAAAAAGTTGGGATTTTATGTTTGAATTTTCGGTTTTCGAATACGAATAGGAGAATATTCATAGATTTATGTTGAATTCTTAGGTGTTTTTTTGCTTTTTTGATTCATGTGTTTCCAGAATTAGTTACTGATGTTTATTCATTTTAGGAAAATGAACATTTTCTTTGTTAAATTTGTGGGTTCTAAAATTTGGATGTAAAACTGATGAGGTTGTGGAATGGTGGTGGACAGAATTGATGCTTTTGGGGTTTATATCCCTAATGCTGACAGTATTGCAAGGGGCAATCTCTAAAATGTGTATTCCTGAGAAATATGTCAAGAATATGCTTCCATGTAGTCTTAAGGAGAAAGAGGCACCGGCAACGGTTGAGCACTTAGGCAGGCTCCGGCGGCTTCTGTCTGAAGCGGCCGTATCTCAGTCTGCTTATTGTGCCAGCAAGGTAATGATAATTCTAAATGCTGCATTTCACATTTTACATTTCACTAATGTATCGCTGTTCTATTGGACTTTTGTTTGTGGGTTCATTGTTGGGATGTAATCTTTAGCTTTGGTTTGTATATTAATTGTTTTTGTTTGCATAATTGGTTCTATATTGTTTGTTACTGAACCCACAATTTATGCCATGATCTGTGGTTTACATTCCATGTTTGTTGACTATTACTCTTCATATGAGTCAAACTTATGCCAAAACAATGGTTATATACTTCGTACTACATAGTTGTTGATGCTTGGTCATATTTTAATGTTCTTCTTTGAAAATTATTGGCGTTTTATATAAATGTTAATTGTCAAGAAGCAAGTGGCCTTCAAATGATTTTTTCTGTATGCCTGTATTTCTTGTCATTATATCGTGTCATTTAAGCCTTTTAGGATGAATTTCTCCTGGAGTTGGATTTGGACCTTCTGCTTTCTTATTTTTTTTTTTTTCAAATTTGTTGGAAAGCCCGAGTAATATGTTTTCTGCAATCAATGCAAACGGCTGAGATTGGTTGACATGAATTTCAAGTTCATGTTGGTCTGGAGGTCAGTTGTTTTTGGTAAAGGAGGACCTCAAAGTCTACTTTTTTCTAAGAGAATCCAAACCTAAATCATTTCATTCCTGCAATGTGACATACACTGCACTGATACACCAATGCATGAAGCCGAAATCTAAATAATTTTTTTCTGCATTGTGACAATGTAGAATATTTTTCAGTTTTTTACACTAATTTCTTGTAACTTATATATGTGCTAAACTGCTAACTGCTAAAAGCGTTTGGTGACCTGGATGTCTCCGCACTTGAGAGTATTACTTATCATTTGTTACCTTTGTTTGCAGCACAAAGTTCCCTTTTTATCCGTTGAAGGGCTTCATCATTTGCATATCTTCATCTTTGTTTTGGCGGTCGTTCATGTCACTTTCTCTGTCTTGACCGTCGTTTTTGGGGGAGCAAGAGTATGTATCCAGGCTTACTTATGCTCTTTTACTGCTGTTCAGTCATTGTTGTGTTCTTTCATGCTGTCAAGGTGGTTTGATTTTTGCTGATGTATATTCTATGGGACAGATACGCCAATGGAAGCATTGGGAAGATGCTATTGCTAAGGAAAATTATGATACAAACCAGGGTAAGAAGTAGCATAAATAATATTTCTTGCTGTTTCCTTGTTTACTTTGCATCAGTGTTGCTCTTCTCTTGTTTGGTTTTAAAACAAAAAAGAGAAAAGAAATGGAGGGGCCACTCTTTGTTGGAAATAATGCAATTTTAAGCTGTTTGGAAGACGCATTGGGTGGTCACTTTGCTTGTTTACGGTATCAGGAGTAGCTCTTGTGATTTTTTTCCTAGGAAGAAAAATAATGTATGGAAGTATTTGAAGCATTTGTGTACCTAGTTTATTGATCTGAACTGTTGACCATTCTTTTGTGTAGCGTTGAAACCTGCAGTCACCCATGTCCATGACCATGCATTCATACGTGATCATTTTGTGGGTGTTGGTGAAAAATCTTCTATCTTGCGTTGGATGGTAAGCAAGTTTTGTTTTCATTGCATGATGGGTGCTCAAATTTAATGTTAAGTATAGGCAAAGCTCAATATTATTCCACTGAAATTTAAGTGTTATGAAGTATCTTTTAAGGTTGATCGGCATGTAGGATGTGTTCTTTGATTTTTGATTTTAAAATTTTAAATTCTTAAATTAAATTTAATGTACGGAATAAATTACCCCTATATTCCCACTACAATATTCGTTAGCTGTAGATATTTGTAGCTGCATTTAGAGTGAAATCTCTTATGGTTACTGTGTGACATTCTGAATGAGAGACAATGGATTTTTGCTATTTACTAGATGCATGTTAATCTCTGGAAAGCCATCAATCAATCTAAGTTGAGATATCAGTTTCTCCTTGCTTGTGTACACTTTTATTGTCAGTTGTTGCAAGATCTTGACTTATTCTAGCTATGAATATCATTATGAGTTATAACTTTCTTGTATAATTGAAGTCTTTTCAACTCAGAATTACTACTTTATTGTCCAGAGATTGATTGGAAAATGTATTGGTTATTTTTCAGCATTCTTTCATCAAGCAGTTTTATGGAGCAGTGACAAAAGCAGATTACCTGACATTGCGCATGGGTTTCATTATGGTATTCTTTTCATATAGTTTTTATTGCATTTTCCTGCATGTTGATGTACTTGTTTTTACAGTTTTGTTTCTAGCATGTAATTTATGATCACAATATACCTATCATGTGTTGAATAGATTAGTAATGATTTTATTTCAGACACATTGCAGAGGAAATCGCAAATTTAATTTTCACAAGTACATGATTCGTGCACTGGAAGATGATTTTAAGCGGGTTGTTGGTATAAGGCAAGTGGTATATCTCATGTAGAATGTCATATTTTTGGCAGCTTTTTAGAATTATGGACTGAGATTCTGATTTGTGTGATGCAGCTGGTATCTTTGGGTATTTGTGATCATCTTCTTGTTGCTGAATGTCAATGGTATGAATTTTCAGTCTTCTACCCTAAGCATCTTATTGTTCATAATATATGGAGTATTTTATTCATGTATAATATTTGCTACTTTTTCCAGTGCTTTTCCTCAAAAATATACATTATCTAATCAGCTTATCTTTGGCATTTATTCGTGTACTAGATTGTGCTTTCTTTTCTTCATAATTTTCATTAATTTGTTAAGATTACAGAGGTTCAATTTAAAATGCTTGCTGTTAGTGTTTTTGACAACAATAACCTTATAAACACTAGTTTCTGAGGAATTTAATCACTGTGTTGTGTGGAATAATATTTCTGTACAATAAATTGAAATCATGCTAATTTGCTTGCTTCTTGTGCTAGATAGCACCCCTCCCCTGTTTATTAAATAGTTCAACCGTTTTGGAGTTGATTTTCTGCTTTATAGTCAATTTGGTAGTTGTGATGACAGTTTGTTATCATCATCCCTTGGATTTATTTTCGCTGTATTACTTTTATCAATATGTATATTCTCGACCGGTAAAGATGTAGATGAATAGAGCCATTATCATTATTTTAACTTCGGCAAACCTTACTACCTTTGTGTTAGAATCCAACTCCTTTTGATGTATTAGATTCCATTTAAGTGCTTTCCTAGAGTTTAGGTTATGTTTTCTTAGCTTGAGGTCCCATTATTGTGTTACTGTCAGTCAGTGTTCACTAGGGATTCTCCTTGTATGTCATTTAAAGCTCTTTAGAGGGCGAATGATTAATGAAATCTTAAAACCTTCTACCAAGTGTTGCCTGGCTTTTATGCTTGTTTGTTGTTAGACCTTTATAGATATTGTGTCTTACTTGCATATTAGCTCCCCTCCAACCCAACTTGATGCGCTAAGGACTCGTGGTTCGGACCCGCTTGTGCCCGCTTTGAAGTATCGGCCGTCACAAGCCCCGACCACCCGCACTCCGTCGCCCAGATAGACGTGAGTGCTCCTGAGATTCTATTGCCCGCTTGTGTTGCTTTGTGCTCACAAGCCCCTCTTCCGCTCAAGGCTAGCATTCTTGCCGCCAAAAGGCTAGAGCGCGCCGCACGTTTCGGGGTCCAAACTCCCGGACCGTGACAGTTGGTATCAGAGCCGAGGCTCAAACCTCGTCGCAAGCAACCCGTGTAGACACCAAGGAGGGCTACACGAAGATGGAATTCGTAGAAGAAAGGCTCGCTTGGCTCGAGGAGAAGGCGGACAAATGGGCCGAGCTCCAAGTCATTGTACACGAGCAAGCCCAGCAAATTGTGAAATTGATGGCTGACAGAGATGCCCTCCGCGAACAATTGCAATTTGTTCAAGGAAAAGCCGACGAAGCACTTGAGAAATGTGCTACCTTAACGCGCGCTGTGGGCAGAGACGCACTGGGTGTTGGTGCGGCGAAGATAAAGCCGCCCAAACCTCGCGACTACAGTGGCGCTAGAGATGCGATAGAAGTTGATAACTTCCTCTTCGACATGGAGCAGTACTTCCGAATATGTCAACTAAGTGACGATCAGAAGGTGGATACTGCCATCATGTACTTGTCCGAAGATGCTAAGCTGTGGTGGCGCACCAAGCACGCAGACATCGAAGCAGGAAGGATCAAGATTGATACATGGGCGGAGTTCAAAGAGGAACTCAAAGAACAATTCTACCCCGTCAACACAGCGTTTGTTGCACGGATGAAGTTGCAAGAGTGCCGCCAGAAGGGTTCTCTTCGCAACTATGTTAAGGAATACTCGGCGATAATGTTGGACATCACAGACATGAATGAGAAAGATCGTGTGTTCAACTTTGTCAACGGGTTAAAGGAATGGGCGCAGCGAGAGATTTTGAGGCAGAATATTGATACCCTCGCTGCTGCTATGTGTGCTGCTGAGAGATTGATGGACTACTCAGTCGGGAAGGGTCGTCAATCTGAGAAGGATTCAAGTGGGACGTCAACACGCTCTAACAGTCCGTCTCCAAGCTCTCCAAAGGGTATAGAGAACGGCTCACGAGTATCGTCCAACACCATTAATACATATCATAGAAGAAGTGGAGGAGGTGATGCCCAGAGACAAACATCTACCCCCTCCCACAACTCAGGAAACTCGAGGGCCGGCGCATCCTCGGCAAACACAAGGGCAATAAACTGCATACTTTGTCGAGGTCCACACAAATGGTGGGATTGCGAGCATAAAGAAGAACTTGACAAGATCCAAAAGAGATTGTCATCCATGTCCGTTCAGGAGGCCACAAAAGAGACTAGCAGCGATGAGGAGCCCACATATAGGATGGGTTCCATACGACGCCTGAGTGCTATGAGAATGATAGCACCTCAAGAAGAACCAGAAGTCCGATATCTTTCGGCAATGCGAGTGATGGAGCCTGAGAAGAAGGAAACATCGAAGAAACAAGCTCGCACCAGAAACCCAGAGAAGCGGGAGATAAAGCCCATGGAGTTGGCAACATCCCAGATACACACCCGCCAAAACCAGAATCAGTCACAAGGTTCGAAGCAAAGAGCGACGAGCCCAGAGACACCAAAGAGACACCAAAGAAGAACCTCCCAAGAGGGAGGAGAAACAGTGGTTGAGCAAACAACGCAGGGCGCGTGCAAGGGATTACAAAGAAAATGGTCACCCAAGAGGCACCAGCCACAACTTGAAGCTCTCCACCACAGTCTCAAGGAAGCAGCTCCCCAACAGATGATGGTGGAAGCAGCTGTCCCCCTTAATTCAACAGATTCCACTCCCAGGAGGAAATTTAGAGATGAAGCTCTCAACAAGATGTTCGAGCCGAGCGACTTCAGAGACAAGCTCCTCGTCAACAAAGAAGATCCAGCTCAAGAGTCAGATAAGATTCCAGAAGATAGCCGCACCAACGGCGCATCCGAAACTTGAGATAGTTTAGGGTTTTCTAATTTTGATTGTAACTTTTGTAAGTCGACGAGGTCGTCGACAGCTTAAGTAGGGGAGGATGTTAGAATCCAACTCCTTTTGATGTATTAGATTCCATTTAAGTGCTTTCCTAGAGTTTAGGTTATGTTTTCTTAGCTTGAGGTCCCATTATTGTGTTACTGTCAGATCAGTGTTCACTAGGGATTCTCCTTGTATGTCATTTAAAGCTCTTTAGAGGGCGAATGATTAATGAAATCTTAAAACCTTCTACCAAGTGTTGCCTGGCTTTTATGCTTGTTTGTTGTTAGACCTTTATAGATATTGTGTCTTACTTGCATATTAGCTCCCCTCCAACCCAACTTGATGCGCTAAGGACTCGTGGTTCGGACCCGCTTGTGCCCGCTTTGAAGTATCGGCCGTCACAAGCCCCGACCACCCGCACTCCGTCGCCCAGATAGACGTGAGTGCTCCTGAGATTCTATTGCCCGCTTGTGTTGCTTTGTGCTCACAAGCCCCTCTTCCGCTCAAGGCTAGCGTTCTTGCCGCCAAAAGGCTAGAGCGCGCCGCACGTTTCGGGGTCCAAACTCCCGGACCGTGACACTTTGTCTCTTTGTTCTTTGAGAGTTGACAACTTGACAATTTCGACTATTGATTAGGCTTGCCTTATATTATCTTGCCTACTCTAATTTCACCCAAAGAAAACAAAGAAAAAGAACACTTGAAACCCCAGCCCACTCCTTGTTCTCATAATCATCATTTTTTATTCTAAACTGTAGTATATATATATATATATATATATATATATATATATATATATATATATATATATATATATATATATGTTTTTTAATCTTATGTATGTACTTCTTTGCAGGTTGGCATACGTATTTCTGGATAGCATTTATTCCATTCATTGTAAGTTTCACGCTCCTCTTAGGGAACAGCTCAACCTTATAGGCTTATACATCTAGTTTAACTTCTTTTATTTTATTATTTTTATTATTTTTATTTATGTTTTTTACCTTACCCTTTTTAAAGAGATCGAACAACTTCCTACATCTTTTATGTGTTTTGATCTTCTTTCTGATAGTATTTGAGGCACCCTTTTTTGATGTGTTTTCTGTCTTAGATTGACCAATTTCAGTTCATTTTGTACGGGACTTTCTCTTTTCACCTCTTATTTTTTCAAGGATCTGAGTTACTTGCCTAGAGATTTTCTTTCAAACAAACCTATGAATCTGAGTGCACTGTTTTTTCTGTTTCTTATCGTTTTTGACTGTTTGTGTGCATTGATATATTGTAAAGTCTTGCTTAGGAACCTTGTCTGAAGTCACCAAAGTGGTTTTGGTCTTTCTGCTAAAATAAAATGCTGCCTTTTTCTTTATAGTCCTTATCTCTGGTTTTGAACTGTTTTCAGCTTCTCCTTGCCGTGGGAACAAAACTGGAGCATGTTATAACTGAGCTTGCTCATGAAGTTGCTGAAAAACACGTTGCCATAGAAGGGGACCTGGTGGTTAAGCCTTCTGATGAACATTTTTGGTTCAGTCGACCTCAGATTACCCTATTCCTTATCCACTTCATACTATTCCAAAATGCATTTGAGATAGCATATTTCTTTTGGATATGGGTGAGCTGCTGTTTTAAGTGTTTCTGGGTTCTTGAAATTACTAATTGCCTTTTTGGTTTATATACAAACTTTAAATTTTCCTCTTTCGCTGTCCCCTCTGTCCTCTAAAATTGTAGGTGCAATATGGTTTTGACTCCTGTATTATGGGACAAGTGCGCTACATTGTACCAAGGCTCATCATTGGGTAAATACTTATTTCTTTTCTGCTCAAATTTTTGTCATAACCTAGACATCTTTTGTTCCTCTTAGTGATTTTCTTTTCCAATTCTTTGCAGCGTTATCATCCAAGTTCTGTGTAGTTACAGCACTCTACCTCTTTACGCAATTGTTACCCAGGTATATTAATTTTGTGCAAAATTTTGCTCCCGCTTGTCTTATGAAGTTCTTCCTTCTGAAATCTGCTGTTATGATATTGCAAATATATGTCTCATAGTTTTACCTATTAAACATATTTTTTTGGTATCTTTTGTTATATTATGAAGATGGGAAGCAACTTTAAGAAGGCAATATTCGATGAACATGTACAAGCTGGTATCCTAGGATGGCGTGAGAAGGTAAAGAAGAAGAAAGGTTTGAAAGGGTCGGTTAATGGCTCCACAACTGGCGAGACATCCACTGAGGGTTCCGCAACGAGAATTCAGATGGCTAGACTTTTCCAGAAGGACAAGGAAGGGAATGAGATTCAACCAAGTAGCACATAAGGAAACACTGGTTGGTACTCATATTAAAGCAAACAGTATAAACCATTGGTTGGAGTGGGTAGCGAAAAATTTAACCTCGTTTTAAGTTTCAAGATGAGGTGTGGTAAATACCTTTGATCTTTGGAAATGAAGGGGTCATTTTGATGTGTTTTATAGGTGGTAGGAAGTACATGTAGAACAATATTTGTATACGTATTACTGCAATTTTGTTTTCCATGATCTTGGATGAGAGTAGTAGGGTACATAGGTCCATGTAAGACTGTAAGTGTATAACCATATCATCTAGCCAATTATTTCGAGTATCATGACTTGAAACAAAACGCTTAAATTATGTACCAGTATAATGCTCAATGCGTACAGCTGTAGCAACTTTGTATTAGGGGTTACATATCTTACTGTGTACATTAATCTTATACAATTACTGTTGCATTTTTCTTTGGCAAAAACAATTTATTGTTGTTAGTAAACATGTATACTTTGTTTTGCTGCGTTTTCTAGTTTGGCAAGTCTTTGCAATGAATAAGCTTCCTTGCGTCTGTTTAAAGACAGTGTATGTACTATGTTGAGGACCTTGAGGTGGTACTCGTATAGTCGTATTACCAATGTGACAATTTCTGCAATTCATCAGTGATGTTGAATAGAAGTGAGTAAATCAACCATTAATTTGTAATCAAAATTATGCTAATTTAACTAAACCATCACCATATAACATTATAAAACATTATACTTAATAGCTCCCAATAATATGAGTATTACTATCAAGTATATACGGAATAATTTTTGTTTGATGTAAAGTGAACCGCACAAAGATAATGATGTAGACGAGATTAAATGTAAGAAGTTTTAAATATCAACGCAAATATTTAAGGCACTCCCTAATTTACATTCACAAAGTTACTGCCAATCGACATTATAAATTATGATTAATGATTTATTCAAATCAAATCTTATTAATACAACCAATTCCATTTACTACGTATAAATCCTTTCCACTTTCTTTGTCTCCACTATTGTAGATTTGTAGCTCTCTTCTCCTTCATTTTTGGGCGGGAAACCAAGAAACTCCTTTCAACTTCAAAAATTATTCCCTTAATTTCTCTCTCCTTCATTCCTCTCATTCCTTCAATACCCATTTCCATGTCCAAAACCCCCACCAGAAGAACCCTAAAAAATGGCACAATTTCCTCAACAAAATCCTCTGATATCACCCCCATCAAGAGGAAACGAGTTGTCAAGCCGAAGAATACTTCAAACAATAAAGGGCAAAGTGAAATTGAAGATATTGAGGATTTATTGAAGTTCAAAGAGGAAGAAATTGCAGAAATTAGGGTTTCTTTGTTGGAATGGTATGATAAAAATAAGAGGGATTTGCCTTGGAGGAGATTGAAAGATGATGATGATGGAAAAGAGAAAAAGGCATATGGGGTTTGGGTTTCGGAAGTGATGCTGCAACAAACTAGGGTTGCTACTGTCATTGATTATTTTAATCGTTGGGTGTTGAAATGGCCCTCCCTTTATCATCTTTCACTTGCTTCTCTTGAGGTTGTTCTTCTTAATCCTCTGCTTTTCTCATTATTTTTGTGGTTTTTATAATTTTAGTTTGTGTTTATTCTGAAACACTGGTCGTATAATCTATTTTGAGACGTGCCGAAAAAGTTGAAATATTTACTAGAATAGTAATGTTTTGTGATTGATTTTTTAAGGTTTTGTGATTACTGTCACTCAAAATGAGCAAGGAAGAGAGTGTGAGAATGACCTGATTATTGTAGTGGGTTTAAAAGTAAATTCTTGTTATATACGAAGTATTTATTAAGAACGGTTGAGATAATGTGACAATTATTTTGCGACAAAAGGAGGTGCCCTTAGTGAGTTTTGGAGATTGGGTAATGAGGAAAGTAGATGCATTTTTCTGAAAGAGATGGAGATTTGTGGGGGTGATATTGTCTAGAAATAAAGGTGGAGTCTTGGATGCCAAGATGAACTGGTGATTGAATCTATGTCATGCTGTTTGCTGATGTTATGTAACTTATTTTGACCTTGTTTATTTTAAAGTGGGTTTGCTTGTGAGTTGTGATTTATCTCTATAATTCTATAAGCTAGTTGAACTATTTTTGTCTGAGTTGCAAACCTCTGGAGTGCTCCGATTTATTAGTAAGAGAGAGGCAAGTAGTTGTCTTTGTAGGATTATGATTACAAACTATCTTGATGGACATCTATGTTTAATTCTCAAGGTGCAAATTAATGTGTGTTCGCATCATAATTTGACAGACGAAACTTCAGTGAAATTGCTGTATGTAATTTGAGATTTGGATCAATGTCCATCAATGGTCTTGTTCTGATCCAAATAACATATCAGTTCGTTGACAAGTTTGCATAAGGTTGTTATATGTCTTCATTGGTGAAGTAAAATAGTAGTATTTCTTTGCAGGAGGTGAATGAAATGTGGGCAGGTTTGGGATATTACCGACGAGCAAGGTATTTGTTAGAGGTAAGCACTAAGCACATAACCTCTGCTTTCTTTCTTTTGTATTCATTAATATTTCTCTTTGTGGGTTTGTTGTTCATGTAATCTCTCAAAGATTGATGGGATTTCTTTGGTTCTTCAAGCAATACATTTATGTAATTGGTTTCGGTATAATGACTTATAATGACGGAAGAGGGCCTGCATGATAGGCAGCTGACTCCTTTTACTTGCCTATAGGGGGCAAAAAAGATTATTGAAGATGGTGGGAATTTTCCCAGAACAGTCTCTTCTCTAAAGAAAGTCCCTGGCATTGGAGAATATACAGCGGGTGCCATTGCCTCTATTGCATTCAATGAGGTTGGACTTGCATATAACTGAGTGTTTATGCTTTCTTATAAATCTAATCTGTCTGACTGCCTGAGCTCACTATTTTTAGGTTGTGCCTGTCGTAGATGGCAATGTAGTTAGGGTGCTCGCTAGACTGAAGGCTATATCTGCAAATCCAAAAGACTCAGTGACTGTAAAGAAATTTTGGTGAGTATTTATGTGCAACCCTTGTTCTTGACAAATGTTTTCTTCAAATCATTTTCTGGTAATTGGAAAGTGGTGAAGCAGAGTGGATTATTGTCTGTGCTCATGCAATATTAGAGATTTCTGCAACTGTGTTCAACACTATATGGTTATATGTGACTTAAGTATACTGAAAGTTCTCATCATGATTGTTTGTGTTCTATCATATCCAAGGATGAACTACATGACACATGGACCCTGATTTTGTAGCTCACTAGGTTGAGTATCTCATCCTTGAACTTATTGTCCGATCAAGACTGTTTAAGATGTTTTGTGATGATTATATGCATATGAGATGATTACAGCTCAAACATGCAAATTCCTATGATAGTTTAGCCATCATCTAATGTTAGTTTTCCACTGTTACTCATTGATGCAAGTATGTTACTGAATGTTTCAGGGGTATATAGTGTCAGACTTGAAATTTGCCCTTTACTAGTTACCACTGAGGCCTAAAGATCCATTTTTTTTAATATTAAAAAAAAAATTGCTTAAAAAGTAATGGACTGAAATGAAATGGCTCATTGAACTGAGTATGTGTCTTTTTCTAAAGTAGGAGGGAGTTGTTTCAGCCTTTCAGGCAGGAATTCTATTACATTCCTTTTTGTAAGTGCAGGGGTAAACTTGTGTACACTTGACTCCCTACCCTGCAATGGCCAGGAGTCCAGGACCCTCTTTAGGGCATTGGGATGTTGATGCTGAAGTAAAGTGTTAAAATTTATAATTACCGATTAGGAAATTTGAAATAAAGGGAATATTATAAGGTTTTCTCAGCATTCTGTGATCTTATCATGTATTACTTTGGTTGCTGATACAAGTCTTTGTCAGGAGTTTGGCAGGCCAACTAGTAGATCCTCATAGACCTGGAGAATTTAACCAGGCACTTATGGAGCTTGGTGCTACAATATGCACACCAACAAGCCCAAGCTGTTCTGAATGTCCCATTTCAGCTCAATGCCATGCATTAGCACTATCTCGGCAGGGTGGTATAGTTACCGATTATCCACTGAAAGTTGTTAAGGCTAAGCAGAGAAATGAATTCTCTGCTGTATGTGTTTTGGAGGTGACAGAATCCCATAATTTGCTAGAAAACAACCAGAAATCTAGACACTGCCTTCTTGTAAAGAGGCCCGATGGAGGCTTGCTAGCCGGCCTTTGGGAGTTTCCATCTGTGCTACTGGGACAGGAATCTGAAACAGCGATTAGAAGGAAAGCAATTGATAAATACTTAAAAACATCATTCAATCTTGATGCAAAGAAAACTTGCAAAGTGCTTTTAAGAGAGGAGGTTGGAGAGTACGTCCACATATTCTCTCACATACGGCTGAAGATGTATGTTGAATACTTGGTCATACATCTAAATGGTACGAGTAGTTTCTTCTTCCTGCTCTTTACTATCCCATCACCTGACTGCTGCGACGATTATTTTTAAAAGGTTTTGATTCCGTGTTATTGAAGGTGGGTTGAAACTCTTGCAAAGTGTGTCGGATGAAGGAAATATGATCTGGAAATGTGCTGACAGCAAGGAACTTTCAAGCATGGGTCTGACATCTGGTGTTAGGAAGGTATTACTTTGCCCTCTTCGTTCTTAATCTCCTTTGTTTTAGATATTCAAAAAGACACTGCAATTTTTTTTTTTTTTTTTTTTTTTTTGAAACCAAAGACTCTACAATTAGAAAAGTATATCTTTACTAAAAAAAAGATTGCTTTTCTTCTTCGCTGAGCGAACTTGTAGTTGAACTTGTTGCTGGCACAGAATATTCTAAAGTGTTATTTTTCCTTGTCTTTGTTTGGTCTATTTGGGTCTGTTGTATAAATATAACACATCAAGTCATCTTGCCCAAGGTACTTTAAAATTTGGGGTTGTTTGTAAATAAAAGGTGGGATTTTTTAAAGAAGTTGTTCTCTTACTTTCCTCAAACCAACACTAGACACCTAGTTATGAATGACCTTTTTCTTTCACTGCTGCAGGTTTACACCATGGTTCAGCAATTCAAAGAAAACAGCTTGACTGCTGCAACTCAAGATACTAAACAAACAAAATCAAGAAAGAGAAGATGAAGTTATACTTGTATGCCTTTGCTGGCATAGATCAATATTTTCTGATTTTTTTGTAAATTTTGTGGCAAGATCTATGTATTGATAATAGTTTTTCTAGAAGCAATATATTATTCACACAGAAGATATGTATTTCAAGATTTCCAACAGAGATATGGAGTACTGAGTATATTTATTCATCACATTTTTAATCATTCATTAATGTACCTTAAGCTGGAAAATAGCGCCTTTTGCTAGAGGCAATTTTTTTTTTGCTGCAGTTTGCACGTGGAAATCAGGTGTATGCAAAGGCCTAACAGAACAAAAAGAAATGGACCTAAGAATTTGGCCTTCACAGAATCACAGGTTAGGAACTCTTGGTGGGGTCTATTTTTAGCCTTAAAGGAGGGATTATAACAGACAAAAAAAAAGTTTTCTAATTTAAATTTCAGTGGCATATATATTTTCCAAAATTCTGTGGATATTGTCTCCTTCGGCTATGCCCCTCCATACATTCAGCATTCAGTTGATACAGAAACTCTTTTTTCCCATCTTTTCTTTGTCATCAGGCTAAGATTAAGGTTCAATAATTTTATCTTAATACTGAAAAATTATATGTGACTGATTATTAATAAGAGCAACATTTTGGATTAAATAAACAGCTGCACACAAGAGAAAACTGAAGTGCAGATGGCATTAGCGCCTGTTGGAGTTTCAAGGTTCTTTGAATCTTAATTTGCCTAGATGTTTTTATCCACTGGTTTACTGCCTTTTTTCGCTCTCCTTTGATGTACTAATGTTTAACTTATACACATGATGAGATTGCAGGATATCTTTGTTTAAAGCTGCTTCTTTGGACATTAATGGAAGTAACTGGGTTTCAAGTGGTTGCGCTTTAGCTCCTCCATCAGCTGATGCTACCAGGGTATGCGTGCCCTTTTCAGTAGACTCTTGTTGTTTATTGCAGTAATTTACTTGTATTCTTCCCCTCTTTTTACGCTTTTATGAAGTTTTAGACTATTGCTTCTGTGAAATTTCTTGTTTTTACTTACCAGTTCAATTTGCTACAGATTGTTTCATCTATATGAATATTAGATTTAGGTCTCTTTTCCAGCTGATTTAGGTCTTGTTATCTTCACCTGATTTTTCCAAATAAGACTGATTTTTATTTATTAGAACTGGTTTTTGCTTTTTTATACTGTAGTGCAAGGGTAAAAACAAGACCTGAACTTTACTATTCAAGTGTTATTTCTACTAAATTTGTTATTATATCATGATATCCAGTTCTTGTACAAATAAAGCCAGCATCTTAGCTCCAAGCTCAATATCATCTCATTTGAGTTTCTAGAATGTAGACTCTTGCTCTGTATCAAATTGTCAATCACTCCATAAACAGGACTATAACATTTGAGTTTTGGATGATCTAAATATGAAATTAATCTTTCTGTGTTACGATAACCATTCTTAAATATGCAAATCACTGACCTATTACAGCTGCTTTAGCTTGTGGTTCTCAAATCAGCTGCTCCGCGTAAACACATTGCCTGTTCAGCTGTTCAAGAATCATCCACTCCTACTGGTAATCATTCTTCTTGAATTTCACACAATCGGCCAACCTTTTTTTGGCGTTTTGTTTGACAAAAAATTATGTTTATTTTCCCTAGTTTCTGCTGAGTCAAAAGAAGAAAAGGCAGAAGCGAAACCAGCAGCTGCCAAGCCAAAAGCTGCAGCGAAAGCTCCTGCTAAAAAGCTGCCTGAATTGATGGAGGAAGATGTTATCCCTGATCTCAAATCAGCACTTGAAGCTCAAGATGATATAAAAGACCTCGAGCTAGCCTTTAAGGATACTACAGTTAGTCTTCTGCATTATTTGCATACATAATTTATCGCTAAGCTTACGAAATTAGAAAGAACTAAATCACCCTTTTTGATTTCTTGATGTAAATGAGCAGTTAGAAGGTTCATTTCAGCAAAATGGCATACCCTACTCATTTTGGGCATTTTTTCCTGATGGAGCACTAACAGGTAGTTTACAGTCTTCAGCTTTCTTTGATTCTTTTTTGCTCTCCTTTTTCTGATAAAACATTGTAGCTTTTATAAGTTTTATAGAGTTGCTCAAATTTCCACAGGTTTACATAAATGTTTTGATGCATGGATACTCTCATGGAAATCAAGTTTTCCGTCTGTGAAACTATTTCTATACACAAAACATTGACTATTTTTGGCATACCCATGTTTCACGATTGTTTCAAAATCCTAGTTTCCTTGTTTCTACATATATGTTCATAATCCCATTTTCGTTTCGTGCAACATGTATAGGTTTGATGCAATGTAACAAAGGAAGAAAATGCTAAATTTCTCGCTTAACTCTTTCTTAAACAGGTCCAAAGGGATTTGCACTGTCCTCGTATGGCTCGGAAGTGAGCACGGTGGAACCATTTCTCATCGATGAGAAGAAAATCACCTCAAAACATGTGGTGTTTTGGGTTTTGAAGCGACTGGCTGCACAAGGGATCATTCCAGTGTGGGAACAATAAGTTGCTTCAATCTAATCCAAATTTATAATTTATCTTCTTGTATAAAATCCTTTGTTAATAATATACCAAGTGCAAAAGATTATTGTTCACGCTTTGTTTACAACTTGATTCATTACTCAAAATTAACCATTTTGGATCACTGTGACTGTACAAGCAATCAGCCAAAAGCTATAAAGGTGGTTAATTATGAAGGACAATACTTCCTTCGTCCCTAATTATTTGCCTTATAGCATTTTCATATACATGTATTACTTTATTACACCGTATTTAGTTTTAGTTGAGTAGAATTGATGATAGAGAAAAATAATGAGATCTAAAACAATTTTGTGATAGTAAAGTTGTCGTCGTCACGTACATATATAGTACGGAATAATCTTTTACAGTCATCTTTAAAAGGAATTTAGGGTCAAACTCGCAAAGAGTGTCCATAACGTAATCTAATGTTGGACATATAATTTAGTACTTTTTTGTTTTTTTTTAATTGCAATGTTGATAATTTTACGCTTGACAATACCTATTTAAGAAATTAATCTTTTTAAACAATTGGAATTATATATCGAAAAGAATCTAACACGATCTACAAATATGTATAACCTGAGTTAGAGTGGACTAGTTAGAGTAAGTAAAACGACGTCCCAACAGAGGCACACTTACACACTACCGCGCTGAAGCCTGAATAATCTTCTTCAACCTCCTTTTGGGGCGCCAACTCACGGAAATTTTTCCCAGAAAAACCTCTAAAAATCAAAATTCAATTTTTTTTCCTTATTAAGGATTTTGATACCTATAAATTGCAGAATTGTAAAATTTTTTACTTTCTTGAAGAAATAAAAAGCGGGAAATTCGGTCGAAAATGGAGGGAAAAAAGAAGCAATTGAAGCCAGAAAGACAACCCCTCAAAACCCTTAATCATATTTCTTGGAAAGAAAAGGTGAAAATCCTTCAATTTTACGCTTGATTATTAACTGGGTTCCGTTTAATTTTGATGGGTGTTCTTCAATTTCTGTTGAATTTCCTTGAATTATATTTTGATATTTTTTTTTCTGGAAATAATTTGATTTTGGTAATCTGGGTTTAATTGTTTGGGTGGAAGAATAGTTGAAGGAGAGCTGTTATCGGAGAGTGAAGGAGGATAGAACCCGGCTTCTATGGAATTCTAGATCACCTCTTCTTCAATCCTCTGATCAAAAGGTTTGTTCTTCTACATGGTCATATGATTTGTTCAAAATGGGTTCATGTATGTTTTATGTGAAGAGTGTGTTACTCCGATTTTTTATTTCACCTCAAGTACCCGGCAGCCGGATACTTGACATTGGTTTGACACTTAATCACTTCATTTTGTACCAAAATTAGGCAAAAGCTTCATAAAATGGCCGACACTTCTAGCTTGAGTCTGAGTAACATGTATTTTTTATGTCTGAATGAGCTCAAAAGGTAGCAGTGTGTATGTTTATATAATGTGATTTAACTGATGATCACACATAGAACAATTTCTATTTAGAGGTATTAATGGGAATTACTTGGAATTTGAGGTGCTTGAGAAAATGAAACTTGGCTAACATAGGTGGTACTAGGGTTAGGTGTGTGGCGAGGGGCGTAATGAATCACAGTGGTCTCCAAAGAGGGGTTCCTTGGAGAAGAAGGGGATTAAAGGAAAAATAATGGAGCAAAGGGAGTGGTATATTTTATTGCTACTTGTTCTCTTTACGGTCCCAACTCACCTTCAGTGAGGGAAAAGGTGGTAAAGGATAGTAGAGAGACTGCAGTCAAGAATGTTACAAAAATATTTATGAAGAAAGTTAATAAAGTGGGAGTTTGTCTCGATTTCATCTTTCTGCTTGCACTCTTGCATGTCATTTGTGCTTTACAATTGTTGCCTATTTCTCAATGAATGTGTTGTGCTGGGTATTTCTGAAGTTTCAAGGGTGTTGGCTTTATGACCGCAGCACTTATTTATCTAAAATAGGATAGAGGATGTTTGGAAGCTGCCTGAAGATAAAGGGGTTGATTATATTGTTAGGCAGTTAGGCTATGCTCTTTGTGATTGCATCTGACATCACTTTGTTGCTTGATTAAAAAGGTGAGGTTTATAGGATATAGTCTGACACTGATTAACTTAAACGATTTTGTTTGGGCCGTGGTAGAACCTTTTCTCTTGGCCAGCTTAAAGCTACCAAGTGTAAACTGTGTTGTGGGATGTGTTACTACTTAAAAAAAAGTTTATATTGGTTCGTGTATGCTATTGGTGGATGTAGTAAGCTATGAAATGTCAAAATTAATCATTCTTTACTTTTATATGCAGAAGTCTATAGTCTTTGTTTGAAGTCTTTTGATGTATTTTCAAAATCCTGTATAGTAATAATAATTTTGTTTTCAAAAGTCTATCTTAGCTTGTACATAGATGCTCTTGTCTTGTGTCTTGGGTCACATGCATTATGTATTAAAAATCTGTACTTTTGAGTGAGATTATGGTTACATTAGGGGGTTTGGTGTATTTTATGGATCAAAATTTAATTTGAAGAGAAGAAAGCTGATTTCAACCCTCTTGCATGCCCTGCTGCGTGCTTATACTTATTCCTCGATAGAATGTTCCTTTTTTGTGCATGTGTAATTTCTTTTGTCCAAATTATAATCTCTTCAAATTTAACAGAAGGTTTATTGAACTTAGTAACATTAGAAGATGCCTTCACTCATTTTTGCTTGATGAATTGTTTGCAGGAATTCATCCACTTCGCTTTCAAGGATATATTCTCTGATGAGTTAAAAAAATTAAAGAATCAGCATTCTGATGCTTCAAAACTCCCAAGTTCATTGTCCGGAGAAGATGATGTTTTATGGGAATATGATGGTCCCCATACAGCTGATAAAAGTGAATGTGAAGAGATATTGCTAGAAATGCAAAGGATCTTCTATGAGGATATCAAGTTGGAGTTGAGTCAAAAAGGTAAGCCGCATCCCTTCTTAAAAGGAAGAGGAGCAAGTTAATGTTGGCTTTCCTGGAACACTTTTGATGTTGGTAAATACTGTTTATCTGTTCACCCTCCCCCCTAAAATGAACTTATTTGAAGGAATAAAAATTAGAAACCGGGTGTGATAGTCCAGAAAGTGTTTTGAGTCTGACATTGGTTTTAGCCTTTCCCAGAAGCAGAGAAATCCATTGTTTTGGAGGATGAAGAGGATGAGTATTTGGCTTTGGCACTCGATCAATATATGCAGTTAAACGATGGGAAGGTATGTCATTGATAAGTAGAGTGATTAAAAAAATTACTTATGGCAGTTTTAGTTGCGGTGTCTTTGATCGAGTGCCATTATGTTGGAAAGATTTTCATTTTGTTGTTGCCAATCTTTTTTTTTTTTTTTGTTTTTGTTTTTGTCTGGTTTTTGGTACTTGTGGATCATCTGATTTTAGGAGAGATAATGTGATACCCTGATGATCAAGAACTGCTGCTTCCTTATCCATGTAATTTACCTTCTGTTTTTTTAATTGACTTTGTTTAGATCCATTAAAAGCTTTTCTTGTAGATGAATTACGGAGTATTCCATGTTTTTAGGCAAACTAGTAAGGACTTACCAACATCTAAATCTATCAGATTGCTTAAACAAAATGCTCAAAGCTACTTTTGAGATTTCATGGACTATAAGGGATTTATTATGTGGAGATAAAAAGGTATAATGGTGCAATGTCCTCAAGGGACAAGATCCCAATTCAATCATGCTCCTTTCATTGTCCACATAATTGCCATAATGCAGGCTATGCAGCAAAAGGGATCCCAATTCCTCATTATCTCAATCTGTGTTGTATTAAAATTTGTCAAATAAATATGAATCTCTTAAGGTCGGTCAGGTACTTGTGACATGAGATCATGAAAAAGGAGTTGCTTCTCATAGGTCGGCACATATATATTTTTGCATTTTAGAAAAGATTTGGTCAAAGGCTCAAAGCATTTAGATGTAATAATTTGATTGTGTGCATCTTGACAGTAATCGAGGATCATGTATGTTGTATAGTGCTTTGATACCGTACTAAAATCAATGACTATCACCTACTTGTATCTATCAAGCCTTTGGTTTCAGTGCAATAATACAGATTTGCATCATAATGCATCCATATGAGGAAGATACCACTTAATGTTATGGGAAATTGTTTACTGTGTTCTTTCCTTAAAATCTCTGCAGTAATTTTCTTCAGCGCCCTCATCATGCAATAAGTGTCTTTCACCTTTTATATTTTGGAATCTTTATTTAGTTGGACATTTTATGTGAGGCAATTGTCAAAGTTCACATTTACATAAAGCAATGAGGCAATTGCCAAAGTTCACATTTACATTAGTTTGGCTATGGGTTTTTCTGCAAGATCTTTTTCCCCCCCTGATAGGGTTCTGGAATATGTTCTTATTTTGCCTTATTATTCTTTGATTTGTATGGAAGGAACACGTTTGGTGCCCAATCTGCAAGAAAGGAGAGTTACAAGAGAATCAACATCTTATATATTGCAAACTTTGCCAGTTAAATCTCAACAAAGGAGATGAGGTACTGCAATAATCACTCTGGCTTCGCTCTTGATTCTGTTTTATCTTGCACAAGCACATCAACAGAGCATGTTGCGTATAGATCAAGGCTTCGTAGCGTGACCTATAGGAGTTGTTAATGTTAGTGAGAGTCTTTCCTTGATTTATCTGTATCAGAACCACATAGATCATGTTGCATATCGATCAAGCTTATGGTCAGCTGGTCATTGCTTTAATTTGCTCAGAAGTTCAAAAGAACAGGGCCTTAGTTGGTGGTTTTATTGTTGATGAACCTGGGGACCTTGTTTTTCTGGTTATTTCTGATATAAAGAAATAGTATCTCGCTTCATAGGGAGTAGGAATGACAATGGACCAGGACCCAATCCAGACCCTCTCGGACCCTTCTTTTGATCCTTTATATGTATATAGATATGGATCTTGCTAACGAACACCCCTGGGGCATTAGATAATAATTTAAAATACTTCTTAAAATGGTATTGATTTGGGAATGCATGTCAAATCATGCGTCGATCGGTGTAATCAATGTTTATTTCACTCTAATAATTCTACTTTTAGTTATCTTATATATCCTACATATATTGCCATCCTCAGGTTAACATATAATGTTCCTTTTAGGACTAGGATTACGTACCAGCTCTGTTAGACTGTTATAGACTAAGTGCTTTCTGCTTAAATGTGATTATTTGGTCAAGGTCTTACCTAATTATCCATTTTGCATTTCCTTCTGCCTGATAGGTTAATTTGAGCTTGTTGAAAGATCGACTAGCAGAAGCTCATGAAGATCATCTTGATAGAGGCTGCCGATCAAAGCCTGAGTTCTGTATCGAGACTGTATTTGATCTAACCGCGCTGTACATTCAATGTCAGCATTGCAATACATTTGAGGTCGTGATGTAAGAAGGATTTTGTTTAATACTTCGTATGTATGTAGTTAAAATTGAAAATTACGTAACTTTGAGTTTCGTTTTTTCTTTTCATTTTCTCAAGGAGTTTTGTATTGTTACTATTGTAACAATTTTTTCTAGGTCCATGTATCATGTATGAAGTGCTGTAGATTGTTGCTATGTTTTGTTACCCTAATTCAAAATTCCTTGTTACCTAACCACCCTCTCTCATATGGACAAAATATGCCACTTATTTTTTATTCATAGACATCATAGTTACAACAGGAAAGCACTAATTGCCAGATTGACTTTGCCTCTAATCAATGTCATCCAACATCTTAGTCAATACTAAGATGATTTGTCTCTCAGCATTATCGTCTAATACTCGTGTAATTGTTCGATTAGATTAGGTTAATTTTAGATAATTCAAACTCTAATATAGCTGATAAAATATTACCTAGCTTTTTGGTTGAGGGAAAAAAAATCATGAAAACTTAGCTATATAGCTGTTCATATGATAGGAATCGTAGCATCAACAATTGATAAAGTTCCGAGATTACATGTTCTCTATAATAACCAGGTAAAATTTACTACGTATCGGATCTCTTTACCGACTTTACAATTCACTGATTTTATATTCAAGCATGACTCAAACGCTACGATTCCGATCTGCAGTGACTGTAAACTGAAATCCTGCAGTTGAAAGAACAAACACAATCATGGATCAGGAATGAGTCTAAACTTTTCAGCAAAACAGAAAAGGCTAGTAGGGTTAAACAAAAACAAAGATACGTGTTGCGTAACATACAGATAAAGACGGGTAATTAGAATATCATTTCCAAGTGTTGAGCGTGAATACTATATCAAACCACCTCTCCATCATTATGCATACAACTATATATTATACTAAATACTAAGTATATTTTATAACACAGACATCAAAACCACAAACTGGGTGACAACAAACATGGTCAACTGGCTAACAAGTCCATGTAGTGGAGAAGGTTACCTACCACATTGCCTTCATTCAAAGTAACCAAAATATCATATAACAGATAATCCTCCAAAATAACAAGGGGAAACAAACAGAGAGAGGGAGAGAGAGATGAAACAGTTGGCTTTCATCTATTTCACCGCCGTCTTCTTGAATTCGTTTTTGCTGGTGCTGTCACAAAATGCAGAACCCTGCAACAGCGTTGTCGACTACAATGAAGCTGTCAACTTTGATACCACTGCCATGTTCTGCCAGACTGTCTGGAAGTCCAATACAGACCTCGTTCTTCGGGTAAGTTTCCCACTTTTGAAACCCTGTCATCCAATAGGGAAGCATAAAGAACCTCCTTAGAAAAGCAACGAAACTATCAAAGTTAAAAGGCAGTTTCAACTTCTTGCATACAGCCTCATTGGCTCACCTTTGTATGCTGTAGCTAGACCTGTTTAAGTAACCCGTTTCAGATCGACTGATTTCAGTTGCAGATTCACACGTTTACAGTTTAGAACCCCATATTCTTAGGTCAGTTTTCAGGTCAAGCCTATTTTATACCAGCTTTGAACCCTTTGGTGTCACTTAGATTCAATTCATACAGGTTTCAGGTTATAATTCTGCATTGCTGATACAATTTCCTTGCTAGGTCGGTCATAAATCTATTTTTGTGCCAAGGTCTCAAAATTACTCTTTTTCTTGCTTCTCAGTATGTACAAGCAGGACCACAGTTGTGGAGCTTCCTGCTGTCAGCATCAAACACAAACTCATGGCTTGGGATTGGTTTCTCAACCAATGGGCAGATGGTCGGGTCCAGTGCGATGGTAGGCTGGATGTACCAAAATGGAACAGGCGTTGTCAAGCAGTACGACTTGCAGGGAAAAGAACCTGATAAGGTGCTGCCTGATGCAGGTGACCTCACTGTGGTGGATAACTCATCAACAGTGTTTATCGATGCAAATCGCATACACCTGGCTTTCCAGATTAATACAGTTGAGCCACAAAAAGAACTGCTCTATGCTGTGGGGCCCTATGGCCAGCTGCCAGTAGACAGTGGCGGGCTAAAGTTGTTGGAGCACCGAGATATGGGTCAAGCCTCACTAGACTATACTACAGGTAAAGCTCAGACATGTTTATCATTCATATGCGATCAGAACAAGTTCATAATTGGTTACTTCGTCAAACATCAATTCCTTCATGTAACAAATTGGTCATGATCAATGTCGTACAAATTCAGAAATGAATTTAGGTAGAGAATGATAGATGAGTTAACATTGACACAAAAGAAACAACAAAAAATTATTCGGGAAAAAAAAAAGGAACAAATGCAGACAGGCAGAAAAAGAAAGTGGGAGAGTACAGTTGGTTAGTAGAGGCCACGTTCATAGAACCCAGAATATTTCTCCCATCAACTTTTACTTGCATTATGAAATATAGAATAATATCCCTATCAACCTTCACTAGCAAATCTACTGACGCCATCAAAGTATCAGCCATCAGCTCTTTTAGAAAATGTCAACGGCTAGTTCTTTAATGACAACATGCTCTCCATGTAAAAATTGGCCAAGGGAAGACCAATTACATGAAAAACCTAATACGTGCATCTTCAAACTGAACGAAGCATGTGTCGTAGACTCATAGAGACTTCCAATCCCATTTTGTGTCCCGTCTTATGTCTCATTTGAATGCTACCTTAGATAAAGATATACTGTCCTAGGAGATAACTGCGCTCAAAAATCAGAAAATTGAGTGTCATTCTCACTAGAGCAACTGAGCAAGTACCTTCTCCAAGTCCACCTCCAAAGATCTTCTCCAAACTAATTCATCCTGAAATCCATTAGAGCACAAACCAGATTGCCTTATTATAGTTTAACATGCATAAGATTCACCCTTTATATATCTCCTATTCTCTCCAATATAGCAATAATGAAAAATGAGATATGAAATAACATTCTATTTTGAGCTTCTGCATGACTAATATGCTTCAGTTGAAAGGTTAGAAATGACACATTTTGAACCTCAACTTCAAATGACAGTGTGTCATTCATGAACTTTTCGTGTAGAAATCATTAATTACATAACTTCGTATCTTCAAAAAATAAACAAATCATTCTGGTTCTTTTCTTTATGTATCAGGGAAAAGTCAGGCAAAGAGCAGCCCGTACACTGGAATAAAAAGGACCCATGGTGCTCTAAACATGATAGGATGGGGAATTTTGATGCCAATTGGAGCAATAGTTGCAAGGTACTTCAGGCAATGGGATCCAATCTGGTTTTACTCTCACATTGCAATCCAGATTTTCAGTTTCCTATTTGGACTAGTCGGCTTCATCTTAGGATTTGTGGTGAAGGATTTTATAAAAGCAGAAGTAACACACCACAAGAACATCGGTATTCTTATTCTCATACTTGCCTGCTTTCAGGTAAGATTCATATACATTTACATCTGCCCTGGAACATAAAATTTTAAATATGGGACAATGAATAAAGATTCAAGATATTAAATTGTTTTACTTTGTGCAGGTAATGGCTCTGTTGATTAGACCAAAGAAAGGTACAAAACCACGGAAATACTGGAATTGGTACCATCATAATGCAGGAAGAATCTTGGTTATCTTAGCTATCTCAAACATATTTTATGGTATTCGTTTGGGTATGGAGGGCTCCAGTTGGTATGGTACCTATGCAGTGATTCTTGCACTTATGGTTCTTGTGGCTATTGTCCTAGAAATCAGATTATGGAGACAAAGATAATGATGTATGGCTTGGAACTAGAAGCTGCAGGACAAATTCTAGATATACTTATTTTTGACGAGTGTGATAAGATAGGAAGTTTTATTAAAGTATTTGTTTAACAATAGATCAAAATTCACCATTAATTTCTTTCATTAATGTATTGTATGCTTTTCACATATGTTTCTGGTCTTTAGATTAAGGACTGCCTTTACACATTTCCATTTTAAGGGCTAAATAAACTGAAGATCAATACTCCTCTTAAGGTCATGTTCACTTTACCTTAAAAAAAAATAATATTCAGTAAAAATAATTTAAGTCAGTAAAAATAATTTCAATTCAGTAAAAATAAGTTCACTTCAGTAAATATAATTTCAATTCAATAAAAATCAGTTAACTTAAAGAATAAATATAATACTCCCTCCGTCCCCGAAACTTCGACCCTAATGGTCTAATTTTAGTCCCAAAATGTTCATCCCATTTGCATTTTAATACCCTTTAATTTGCAATAATATTTGTGCAAAATTAGCTTCCCCATGCAAATTTTGCTTTTTCTATATACTTTTATTACTTTCTCTCTCTACTTTTTTGCAATTCCAATGTAAATTTCCCTTTTCAATGTACTTTTCTTAGTTTCCCCATACACTCTTACACTTCCAATTTAACTTCTTAATACCCGCGAAATCAACCCAAAAGGGTCGAAGTTTCGGGGACGGAGGGAGTAGGAAATTAGTAAAAATAATTTCAGTTCAAGAAAAATAATTTCAGTCCAATAAAATTAATTTCAGTTCAGTAAAAATAATTTCACTTCAGCAAAAATAAGGTGTAGTGAATGGGACCTAAATCCATATATTTTCCACTTAAGGCAATGTAACTCTCTCAATGACAATGACAATGACAATGACAAATGCAGCTAATCATGCACAAGTCCCATATTGATGAAAGCCTAAGCAGGCCCTTAATGCCATCAGCATCTACTGGGAGAAAATGTGGGCTAAATTCAAAGCAAACAAGTCAGGAAAATGAAGCACAATATTTCACCACTTTTAGAATATTGAGACTCAACCAGGATTATAAATTCATGAACGTTTGTCTCTTTACGAGTCAAGTTTTTGAAAAAAAAAAAAAAAAAACATTTGACTAACTTAAAGGCTTACAAAACGTATCACCAACTAGGTAAAGTAGAAGACAAACACATTAACATGTAAAAACTCTAAAGCCCTCATTATCGGTAGCAAGGGTGCATTAACAATACATGAATAAGAGAAGTAGCCGCATATATGCAAACCAGTTAAGCGACACGTAAATGACTAAAATTAGACATCATGGAAACACATTAAGCTAACTTTATGACATAATGATAGCCCATACAATATTTTGGTTTGAATTAACATTGAAAATAATGCTGCAAAATCAAAGTATTGAACATACTTGAAGTAAGCTACAACAATACCATTCTGCACAGTGCACATCAGCTATCAGAAATTGATACATGCAACGAGCTAATTCGTTCATGTTCTGGAAGGACAGACCAATTAGGAGACTGCACAGCACGCAACCACTTAAAATCATCAACATTTGCCCAACTCCCAGTCTCTTCATCAAGTCTTGACTCCCTTAAATCTTCCTCAATCCCATCGTATTGCAAGCAATAGGGAGCGAATCTCACCTCACTACTATCCTCAATAATGGGATGACTCCGAACCCTCAAGTAAAAGTCACATTTCCTAGCATTATGAATCCTTATCTGATGCGATGCCAACACGAAAACACACCCTTCAACATCATCTATCAGTACAGAACCCAGAGCAGGCCCTGCATAAACCTTGCAATTCCTTACCCGATGAATGAATACTGCCCTCGATCTACCTATCAGCCTCACCTCACAAGAACCAAGGTCTGACAATGTAAACTCCCCCATGTCCTTCCCCTTCAAATTCTCCACCAGAACCTCTCTTTCCCTGTTCTTAAACCCCGGAGTATCAAACACAATACAAGATTTGTCACCAGAAACCACCACTTCGGGTTGTTCCTCAACAATGGCCTTTTGATTCTGCTTTGCAGCTTTAGTTTTGAAAGAAAATTTCTTCTTTGGAACCAGTTTTACTGCCACCTTATCAAGGGACTCTCTCAAGTCAGAGATAGTCTTGAGAGAGGCACGAACGTCATAGGAAGGCAAATGGTAGGTATTTTCTGCAAGCAACTTCTCAAGATCATTGATTAAAGCAGAGACATTATCAAGGTCCCCTTTGGCAAAAGACTCAGGGGCTTGTTCAATTTTATCAATCTCAGACACAATTGATTGCTGGAGGTCAGAAAACCGAGCAAGAAATGTATCAGTAGACTCAAATGATGGAGATGAATCCGACTCTTTGCTCCGGACACGAGCTTGGTGGCGGTTAGAAAGGCGATCAATCATTGCTTGACGCTTCTTTTGAAGCGCCGGATCAACGGATTGGTCATACATTGAGGTTGGGTTTGAGGCAGAATTATGATCTTCCATTGCAAGAGGAAACTCTCAGGTTTTCTGATGTTTGGCAAATCTTTAAAAAGCTTCCCTAAAACCCAAATAACAACATCATCAAGGATTTAAAATTTTAGGGTTTGAAGGACAAAAATTCCCATCAATTATACAACTTTAATTTCCTACATGTGCTAATAATCAGGAAGAAAATTTCCATTTTCATAGTTCCGTCTTAACATTCAAGGAATTTGCAACACATTATCAACCACATTTGATTCAATTATCAAATTAAAATCGAAAATGAATAGCAAAGTTAAAGCATCACAGTAATCTAATTAAAAGCAATAGTTCAATAATCAATCCACCTAAGAAAAAGAGAAAAGCAAAATTGAATTAAATTGATGATCAATGATGATTAAGAAACTGATAAATGATGATTAAGAAAAACATATTACCTCAGTGGCTGCTTCAATGGAGGAGAGAAAGCTCACTCTTTAATGGAGATTTCAATTGAGAAGACTCCATCAAACAACATCCCATTTGAATTGTCCTTCCGGTTTTTTTTGTTGTCTTATTTGATATTTTACGATGTTCAAGATGTATTTAAAATAAATTATTATTATTATTTTTTTTTTTACGAGGTAACATACGGGGGTGCCCTTCTAAGGCTCTAATCACGGGAGGGGTGGGGTAAGGATCTAACTCAGGTCACTTCTGCGGGAATTCCCTCCACTCTATGATTCTCAAAATGCGTTTAAAACATATGAGTACTCTGTTGCACACTTTGACAAAGTCACTGGCAAGATAGGTTAGACTCGAGTCAAGGTCATTAACATGTTGGATTGGGTCAGGATTAAATTCAGGTTTCAACGAGTTAAATCAGAATCGGGTTGACTTGGGTTGAGGTTGATAATTTGTGGATCATATTTGTGTCGGGTCAATCTCCAGGTAAGGTTATGTCTTGGTTCAGGTCTTAAATTATCAGGTTAACTTGAATTTCAGGTTGATTTTTGTCTTTCAAGTTAAGTCGTATCAGGTTCGAATCACTGTTTTTATGAATTCAAACCGATCGAGTCATGATTTGATTTGTGTTAATTTTTTAGGTCCGACTAGCTTTTGACATCACTAGTTTTCGATTTGAATTTAGGTCCAACTCATTTAATAGAGGGAGTCATATTTTAATTTATTGTGTGTCCATAAGCGTATGTTAGACAAACTGATACAGAATTAATAAAAACCAAAAACCATTGTGGCTAAGGATAAATCCACAATGCCACAACATTTCTTAAAAAAAAAAACCATTGTGGCTTTGCTCAAAATCTAGTGACTCGTTGCTTTTATTTATCCACTCAATTTCGCATCTGCTGCATTGTTGCCCACTTACAGTCTGAACTCAGCCTTCAAACTAACTAGGTAATTTTTTCGGTCCTTCCATTTTTGTTGGGTTTTGTTTGAATTTCAAACTTGAATTGTTTGACATTTTAGGAATCTATTGTAAGTGCAAGTGCGATTGCCAGATTTGTTTATCTTGGATAAAAATGAAGTTATTGATTGGGTTATATAAGGCATAATAATCTGGAAATTGGTTATGAGCGCTTAATTATGCAGATCAATCGAGACATCCCCTTTAAAGTACTCAATCTAGATGATTGATGAACATAAATTAATAACATGGGTTATTTTAGATTGTTTATATTTTCTCATTGATTAATAATTTGTTCAAAGTTTTATATATTGGCCAATTTGTAATTTCTTGACTATTTATAGAATGGAATAATTATTTACCAGCCCAATTTCACTCATCACTTGATAGTTTATAGTATGCTGCACATCTTCGTTGACACAAAAAATCTGGTAATACACTTTTATACAGTAATATAGTAGTATGTAGATATAGCTAGAAAATTAATCTAGAGATTTTAGAATGCGGATGCAAATTAATAATTAGTCGACATTCTAAATCGATCGAAATTCAATCTCTAGTTTGGGAGTGCAAAAGTGAAGAAGTTATGTTTTCCTCCCTATTCAAATAGCCTAATGTTAGTTAATTTTTCAAGAAAATGGGATGTGGTTGCTTACTATACGACACACTGGCTATGTAGGCCGATCCCTATATGCCTAAGAGCTCCGAGGCTGTTTTAAGTTAATCAACTAATTAGTGGAAACTGGTTAGTACTCGATTACTGATTTAGGTTGTTCAGTCCTGTATATGGACGTCTCACAAAATTTTGTTCCTTTAGGGACAGTATGGCATTTGTTATGGCACCTTTAACATATGCTCCAGCTTACAAAGTAGTTCATGACGGGAGAACTTCACAAGTAACAATTCCTAGTGCTGCAAGAAGTCTCCGTTACAAATCACTTTGGCAATGCTCGGCTACTGCTACTGATACTTCCTTGGTGAATAGACTTTTTACCAACTTTATCATTGTAAATGATAGTTTTTTGTTCACATTCTTGACCACATGGACTAAAATTCAGTTTTATCTTTTTGGTATTTCAGTCATACGAGGTAGAGACTAGAAAGCATGATTTGTTGAGAGCAATTCAAGATACTGAAAGGGGGCTCAAAACAACACCTGACCAACGATCTTCCATTGAGGAGGCACTAGTATGTAAATCATTATTACTTGGACTTCATCTAATATTAATTTCTTACATGGTTTATATTGAAGAGATTGGCTTGGTGAAAATGATTATATGATGTGAATTTGACAAAAAAAAATTATTTTTTATTTTTATATATTTAGGTGACTGTAGAGAGATATGATGCTGGTGAGCCAATAGATTTGGCAAAACTGGACGGTACATGGCGTCTTCAGTATACTTCTGCTCCTGATGTTGTCGTCCTTTTTGAAGCTGCTAGTAGACTTCCGATTCTACAGGTACTGACACAACACGCAACCTTTGGGCTTCTGCCTTTTTTAATGCTTGTGATTGTGAAGGCATCATGTCCATTATCTTGCAAGACTATTTCAAAAAATTAAAGTCCCTTGTGGAAATTATTTTCATACAATTGACATTTGTGTCTTACATATTCTTGTTTTTCAGTGGTGCTTGTCTGTTGGTGTGATGATAGGTGGGTCAGATTTTCCAGAAATTTGAATGCCGTAATCAATCTGATGGTGGTGTTGTCCGCAATATAATCAAGTGGAGCATTCAGAACCTACTAGAGGTGAATTTCATTTGCTTCTTGTTACATCATCAACATGTGTTCATTGCAGCTGTACTAAGCACTTTTGGATTGCTTTGTTAAGCATCAATATAAGGGGAAGGGCCTTTAGGTAGTAAGCATTACAATTCAATTTTTAGTGGCTTGAAGTATAAGATAAGTAGTTATTGAGAAAAAAAAGCAGTATAGAGCAAATTAGAGAATGGAAAAACATGCAGAGTATTATTGAGATTTTATTTTAGTCTGTTTTACATTTTGAGGAAAAGTGAGCCTCTTAAAAGCTTGCAACTATCCTCCATAGATTAATTAATCAAGCTTCATCTACTTCCCTTGATCTCCACGCATCTATTTATTCTATCCAGGCTAAGTTAATTCATAGCATACCTGGATATTGTTGGAAGGACTGTAATTATAGCTTTCTGTCATCTCGCTATGGAATCTCCATTGAGCCTGCAGATGAGGAACATAACCTCTCCTTTGAATATACCTCAAATCACCGCAATGACTCTTATAGTATATACTTCTTTAACTAAAAGATGGATTTTAGATTGATATTGATACTTGTGCTCTGTACTGCTTATGCTATACTTCGTATTTGACTAACATGAAATCATATCAGCTGAAGTTCTTCTACAATCCCTTATTAAACTATGCACTGCATGTATCTTCTTACTGTTGTTATGTATTGAGAGAGCAGGTTGCATAACCGTTTTGTACTTGTTCAAACATCACATAGTTAAGTAATAAATCGAATTTTGATTGCTAGGAAAATGAAGGTGCTACCCTGCTCGTTTCTGCCAAGTTTTCAGTGGTTTCACGTCGCAATATCTACCTTCAGTTTGAAGAGGTTAGTTGTTGACCTCTTTATGTAAACTGATGTATCTTAGTGCCTCTCATCTTCTCTGATTCAGTAATCATTTCTTTGTCAATGCATTTTTTTGAACTTCCATATTCTGATGTCTGAAAATGAATATCTTTTTGGCAGATCACTCTTCAAGACATTTCCATAAGTGAGCAGGTACAAGCTGTTATTGCTCCAGCACTCTTACCAAGAACATTTTTAAGCTTACAGGTAGTCAACCTTAACACCCATACTATCGGTTATGCATCAATGTATTGGTCATAAAACTCATGTTTAGAAGCTGTGCCTATTATTTGTGTGTGTGTGTCTGCAAACGATAGCCGAGTCACAAAAGACTAACTAATTACATGCTAACTAAACGTGGCTGTCTCCCTTCAAAGATGTTTATAATTTTGCCTATCCTGACAGAGGTCCTTGACTCCTTGGGTTATAGTCATTGCTAACTTTTTCTCTTTTTTTGAGAAAATTGCTATTTTTTTTCAGAAACCTTGTTAGCCAAGAAGCCAACCAAATAGCTGCTTTATTGGATTGACAGTAAGAATGTTCTAGTACACTCCCCCATTCCTCCTTCAAAAACCACAATATCAGTAAATTGACTAAAGTGTTCATTTGTTTCAGCTTTCAGCCTCATTAGGTATTGCTATTAGTGTTTATTCTGATTAGATATGCTTTATGCTTTTAAATGCTTGATGTCTTACAGTCATCTAATAGTTGATCATATTTAGGTTCTGATTGCTTTCAGCTTAACTTGACATAATCCCACCTCGCCTCTCCAAAAACAACAATCCATCTGCAGTGTCAAAAATCCAGCCCTGCTAGTCAACTATTAGAGTGACACTTTCTTTTCTTTTTTTTTTTCCCTACTTTGTTCTTTCTTCTCAAAATTAGTTGTCAATTTCTTGAGTCGACCTTCTGACAAAATTTTCACCTATCTCAGTTGATCAGTTATTTGTAAAGTTGATCTCCACATTTGAGTACCAGCTGCTATGATAATATCCTGAGCTTCATACAAAGCATACATGTATGCTGAATGTCATGGTAATGGCTATTTGCAGATTCTGCAGTTTTTCCGCTCCTTCAAAGCTCAGATTCCTGTAACAAGCACAAGCCCTCAGAGGTACTTAATAGTACATAAGGATGTGTTCAGACATTAAAGGTTTTCTCTTCTCAATTGAAAATTCACTTTGACATTTGATGTGTTGGGATTACAGGCGATCAGTAGGGGGATTATATTACCTTTCCTACTTGGATAACAACATGCTCTTGGGTCGTGCAGTTGGAGGTGGAGGGAATTTCGTGTTTACTCGAGCTCAACCTTTTGTCTGTTGATAATGCTCAGGCCCCCAGTTTCCCTTGTCAAAGTTTATACTTTCACATATATTTTGACCAGAATTTGGTCTGATGGTTAAATTTGTTTCAATCAGTAAAGTATCAATATAATTATGTTATTATTTTGTGTACGATTTGGCTTACTCTGTTTTCATCTTTGTTTGAAAAATAATTATTCGGGGTAAAGCAAGAAAATCTTTAAGCGTTTGCAGATCAGTTTCAAGTCTATAATACAATTCAGTAATTCACATGCCTATTATCTTGGGATGTAAAGGATCCATAAGGGAGGTGTTAGGGACGAGATTTGATACTTGGTCATGGATAACACCACCACATGACTTCACTAATCAAGCTAGTTGACATTTACGCAATGTACACACTTGTTGCAAGGCCAAATGTGAACGTGTAATAATGAAATATTGAGATGTAGTGAGACTGTAAGAGATAATTGTCCCAATTGTTAGTAATTGACACGACCTCAAATTAATCAAATCAAGGAAAATTAATGTATGAATGAAAGTATGTATGTAACTTTGTATGTAGAGACGTATTCACTTATCATACAAGTGTATAACAATTGCCAAAACTGATACAAATTCTTCAAAGTTTGAAGCCAGGATTAAATACAGTTAGCAGGGTTGCATAAAATTACTCCATGAAAATTCTTTGGTGCCACCAAAATTGCCATTTCGGACCAATTGTTAATATTTCTTCTTCTTTGATAGAATCACCTCTTGACAGCCTAAATAATTCAATTGCAAGTGTACTAATTTGAGGACACCCATTCATTTACAAAACAGTGAGTTTCTTGCAACCATTCTTCAAAGCCTCCAATCCACGATCACATAGATTTCGACATCGATTTACATGCAGTCTTTCCAAATTATGACAATTCAAGGCAATTGACTCCCACCCAGCAACTCTAATCTCATGGCACAATGCTAAATTCCACTCCACCAGAGATGGACAGCCCTTTGCAATCAGTGCAACATCCTCATCCCTTACTATCCTACACAATCTCATATTCAAAACCCGAAGCATTTTTGCAAACCCTCCCCCAATTGCTGATAATCCATCTCCACGAATCGACCAGCTAAGATTTGAAATATTTAGATACTCGAGACCACCCCCACTCACCATACTTGCTATTCCTTCTGGCTCAAGCTTACAAGATTCAGCTTCCAAATAAGCTAGAGTTTGAGAACACCCATGAAATCCGACACCCTTCATGCCCCTACAGTTGCTGATTCTGATGCCATAAAGATAAGCACAATTCTGAACAAGACCATTGATGCCATGATCAGTAATTCCCAAACAATACATAAGATTAACATCTTCCAAACCCAAACAAGACTTAGCCAAGATTTCCAAACCCACATCAGTGATATTGCAACGGTAGAGACTAATATATATCAAGAAGGGGCACCCACTTGCTACGAATGAAAGACCATTATCTGTGATCTCAAAACAACAATCCAAATGAAGGGCTCGTAAACTCGAACCAAAGCATTGTAAAAGCTTAAGACCAGAATCTGGTAGCTCAGTACATCCAGATAAGGACAGTGAACGTAGGTATTGGAAACAAGACAATGCCCTATGAAGGTCATGTGTATCAATCTTACGCGGGGTTCTTGAGAGCTGCCTAGTGTAGGTAAGTGAGCAATCAAACTGTAAGGACTTTTGATTTCGATTCTGAATGTCTAGCCACCTAGTGCAGGTTAGTCCAAACACTTCTCGGTCACGTTCATCACTAAGCCATTTGAAGATGAAAACAAGGCAATCATCAGGAAGATCCATTATAGTAGTGGAATTATCAGTTTGAGAATCATCAATTACATTATACTTCACATTAACACAGTCATCAGGGAGATCCATATTCAATGTCAAACTATCACTCTCAGAATCCTCCATTACACTTAAATTCAAACAAGTTCAATTGAACCCCAAAATTGATGCAACCAACATAACCTACAATAATCATACAATCCGGATTAAAATCAATCAGAATAAGGCCAATATCAGCTCAATAAGAGAAAAAGCTATTAAAATTTATCAAATTTCAGGGCCAAAAATCACAAATAAATTAAGCATTGTTTTGTAGAATTTGACACAAAATTGAACATAGTTGAACAAATTGAGAATTCCCAAATTAAATTATTCAGAAAAAAAAAAAAAAAAAAAAAATCAAAATATTATTAGGGAATTGTCATACAGCAAATATCTCTCAAAAATGCAACTTCAGAACCTCATCAAAATGACTAACAAATTCTTTAAAGTCTATATACTAAAAAAAATGTGCAAGAAAACTAAAATTGAAGCATTTGAGAACTTGAAATCAGCATGATAAAATTGAAAAGATTACATCTTATATAGCAGTGATTAGGAAATACCAGGTAAAATGTCGTGAGTGAGGGAGGAGAGGATTTAAGCCAGTACTGCAGGTGAAAGAGAAAGAATGTAAGGAGGGTGTTTATTTGCCTTTTGCTACAACCGGACTAGAGGAGGGAAGATTTGTGTGATCCAAAAGAAGAAGTTCTCAAGACTTAAGTTAACCTTCTTTTTGTTTATCTCATATGAATTTATCTGATTAACTTGATGTGATGTGACTAAACGACCATATATATAATATATATATATACGATTATCAATATATATATAAAAAAATAAAAAATATCAAGTTGGTCTTTAGATTCGTAATAATGTGTATTTTGTTTATATGAAATATGTAGTTTTTATAATTTTTTAATCACTAAATTAAAAATATTTAACGTTAAAAAACTACATCTAAAACACTCTACTAAACTCTAGCCTTCATTATTAATTTTGAAGGGGATTTCATCGGATTTCAGCGATGGAAAGCCCCAATCTTAATTTCTTTTACGTTTTCTTTGTTATTTAGGTTATCTCTTTCGAAAGACAAGGTTTTTTTGATCTCATTCGAAAGACAAAGTTTTATTTTTTCGATATCTTTCGAAAGACAAGGTTTTATTTGCGCTTAATAAGGTCTCTAGTTGTGCGGGGCTACGATTGATTATGGCTCGGATTCAGGTTACAAAATCAGTACAATTATGGCTCGGATTCAGGTTACAAAATTATAAGCAATGACGGATCCACTCAAAAAGTTGTATGAGACAACGAATCGAAAATGTACCGAAGTGTTATATCTATGTATTTGGATTCTTAGCCCTTCCCTGATTAATTTTTGTTTGATTTTGTTAATAATGTTTTCATTATCGTTAATTGTAGATGTCATATGACTTTATTTAATGAAATTTAATATCCTCTAGCACTTCTTTCAAAAAAACAAAAGAAAAACTACATTTAAAATGATAAAGTATGTCAGAACTGTTTTTTTTTTTTTTACAACGGAGTGCAATTTGTTCAAGAAATTCCTATCTCTCTTAGTCTCTTGTGTATTGGATTACAAAATTTACAACTTGAAATCTATATTGACAAATGTAATCACGAAAATGTGTCAACTAAAAAACCCGGATAAATTATATTACCGTATTATTTTATTTCTTTTTTACATGCAATGGCCCTAAAATAAAGCAGCCCATCGATCCACTTAATTTTAAGGTGGACTACTAAATGAATAGATTGGGTTAAGGCCCAAATAAAATGAAGTTTAGGGTTTAAAGTGGGTAGGTATATCATCACCTCCGTTTTTTGCTTCACTCCCTTTCTCTCTCTTTCGTCCCTCTCATTTTTCCAGCGCTCAACCATGGTAACCCCTCCTCTTCCTCTCTTCTACTATCTACATTCAATGTCAATTTTATTTTTCTGAATTAGTTTTTTCATGTTAATGCTACTTTTAACTATTAATCTGTTAATGTTGTTTAATTAATTCTAAGTTGCATTTTATAAACCCACTCTACAATTTATATGAAGATTAAAACTTTATGTTGTTAATTACTTCTGAATTGAATTTAGAACCTTCACTCTACACTTTATATGATAATGGTATTTTATTTATTTATTTTTTTTGGTCTTAAATTGTGTAAATTCATGAACCCATTAGAAAAGAAAAAAAAAAGACCCTGCATTTCTTATGTTTGATTGATGCGCATTTTTGTTTTTGAGAAATCTGGCCATTAAATTTGATTAACGTGTAAAAATTGTTAATTATCGATATACAGTGAAGAGATGAACAATGGAATTGCTTCATGATTGTAACTGGTTGATAATTTATGAGCTAAATTTGCTGGGTTATTACCATGTAATTGCTGAAGTAATAGGAAATTAGATGGTTTTACAATGAAATAAGTTGGGCTGATAGTAATTAATTTGTACAGGCTTTCGTGAAAGCTCAAAAGACAAGAGCTTACTTTAAGCGATTTCAAGTTAAATTCAAGAGAAGGCGTGGTGCGTTGTTTGTTTGATAATTGTTTCTAGCATTTTGTTTCGTATGTTGTGCTTTGGGTTTTTGAGCCGTGTTCTGTCTTGTGTGTGTTTTGCAGAGGGTAAGACTGATTATAGGGCCAGGAATCGCCTGATTAATCAGGACAAGAACAAGTACAATACTCCCAAGTATCGTTTCGTTGTGCGATTTGTATCCTTATCTTTCGAGTTTTAAATCCAGTTTGCTGGATTCAGCTTGTTGCTAATGTGCTTCTATCTAATCTTGACTATAGTTTAATTCTAATGTATGGCCTTTTAATGTTGCATGCACTCTCAACGAGTCATGGACTTAAACATTAGTCGCCTTTATTGATTTATCATGTTGGCCATGAACATGATTATCCGTCAATGTTTATTTTATTTGTGATTTATTTGATTACAATCTTCCAACCTTGGCTTAGCTTTTTTTTGTGGAAGATCCTTTATTATCAAAATCTAAGGGGTGGGCCTTTTATAAGCTCCATATGTAATGGTAATTTGGTATTCTCGGATAATGACTCTTGATTGGTGAAATGCTAGGAGCTAAATGTTTAACTTGATCTTAGGATGATATTTTTCATTAGTTATCAACTTTGCTCAAAGGCCTGACTGTCAATTTGTAACCATACAGTGAGTTTTTTTTGGGTGCATGTGTATTCTTCTTTACTGTTAGTATATTTGAAGATCCTTAATCCTATTATTAGACAAATAAAGACATAATTGCACAAATTATATCCGCTAGCATCACTGGTGACTCAGTTCTTGCTTCGGCGTATGCCCACGAGCTTCCTCAGTATGGACTCAAAGTTGGTCTCACTAACTATGCTGCAGGTTAGCTTATTTATTTATTTATCCATTGTTTATTACTGTTAACTAATAAGAAGGATAAGTTTTAACCTCCCCTTTCATAACTTTAGCATACTGCACTGGCCTTCTTTTGGCTCGAAGGGTCTTGAAGATGCTTGATATGGATCAAGAGTATGAAGGAAATGTTGAGGTATAGTTCTTTCTTTTATGAGAATATAGGTTGGGCTTTTGGATTTCTATATTGATGCATGTTAATCTTTCATCATTATGTTAAGTTGCAGAAATGTTTGGAAAAAATCTTATTCTGAAACACTTGTTCAGAATGTTATGTTTATATTATAATTTTGGGACATCAGTAACAACTCTATTTATGTGTTTTATAAACATAATATCTAATTCCAATGATTGCCTTTCTTTGCAGGCAACCGGGGAAGACTTCTCTGTTGAACCAGCAGAGACTAGGAGGCCTTTCCGTGCTCTCCTTGATGTAGGTCTTATAAGAACTACTACTGGAAACCGTGTTTTTGGGGCACTGAAGGTATTGTGTTTGTTTTTACTTTTTAGCCCTCTTTGCACACTAATGAGTAATTCGTATAATTTCCAGACAATGATTTCACATAAAGAGTTTCTTATTGTTGTGTACTGAATGATTGTGTCAAATTTGTTCATGATGCCCAAATCAAATCCATTAACAGAAACAATTATACTTTTGTTAAAAGAAATTTGTTCAAGTTGTTTAAAGAGATTTAGAAGTATGCTCTTCAAATTTTTCTCATTTTTAGTTCGGTCTTGCTGCCAGGGAGCTCTTGATGGAGGAATTGATATCCCTCACAGTGACAAGCGATTTGCTGGATTCAGCAAGGATGGCAAGCAACTTGATGCTGACGTTCACCGCAAGTATATCTACGGTGGGCACGTTGCTGGGTACATGAAGGTAAGTCTGCAGTTTGTAGCTTATTTGTTATACCACGGACCACTCATTAATGTTTTTCATGATGCCTCCAAACTTTTGTTGCTTTGTTCCAACTCTTGTCCTTTTATGACAAATTGTACCCAAAAAATGGGAATTTTTTTTAAAAAAAAGTTTCAAGTTTGATTACTCAAATGGTCAGCATGGCTTTCCTCTCGGGAGAGTGTTGAAAACTCAAAACAATGTGGTATTATGAATTTAAAGTTCAATACAGTAGCCAATTTCTAATGGTTGATATATTATTTCTATATCTTTGTGACTGTGTATGTTGAAATGCATGAGAATTGTGAATTAGATATCATGAGTGCCTTAAATTTCTCTTATACAAGCTGTTGACTTTTGCACCGTATCTTTTTACAGACATTGATGGAAGATGAGCCTGAGAAGTACCAGACACACTTCAGTGAATATGTGAAGACAGGGATTGACGCAGATGGTCTTGAGGCATTGTACAAGAAGGTTCATTCTGCTATAAGGGCTGACCCTACAGCAAAGAAGTCTCAGAAGGAGGCTCCTAAATCACACAAGAGGTAAGAACTAGAACACTTGTAGTTCTTTTATGTTGGTAGGATTCTATAAACTGCAAAATGCGTTGTTCTACTGGAGCTAATTTTTAATTGTATTGTCTTGAACAGGTACAACCTGAAGAAATTGACTTACGAGCAAAGGAAGGCTAGTTTGATACAGAGGCTGAATGCTTTGAACTCGGCAGCTGGAGTTGATGACGATGAGGATTCAGACGATGAGTGAGGACAACTTGGTCATAGACCTCTAGATTTTGTTACATCTTGAAGAAATTCAATTTTGTTAGTGACATGCTTTTACAGGTTGTGAAATATTTTTCTTACAATTGTGTTTTAATGTATGGTTTTGATATGCCAAACGTTCAACTGTAGCTGGATCAATTTTAAGTTGCTACAACTATAGTTCTAAACCTTTTTTTTTCCTTCTTCTGTTTGGGCTAAATTAGCTATTACTATGATTATGCTCTTGAACTAATACACAAGCTTCAAAATTGAATGGCCATAAGTTATGTAAAGCAGGCTGCAGGCTAGATTAACCAACATCTGATGTTTACAAAAACCAAAAAGGTTGCAAGGTATTCAATCCTTATTGCGTTGGTATTGTAGTGTCCTGTCAAAGTGTCAATGTACATGGTAATGAATCCATTACTAAAACTTTCCTTACTTTATTATACCTTTTGAAAAATGATGATGAACCATAAGTGTAACATATCCCAATACCACTAATTTACTATGGACAGACATAAATTTTCTTTTAAACATACGTATAAGTTTACACCTTGTAGCCGCACAATTGCTAATGAGTAATGTTGAACATTAAAGTGTGAGCAGAATCCAAATCATCATTAAAAATAAATAAAAAAAACTAGATAATTTCTGAGCCTTGCTCGGTTTTTGAAATCAATATTTAATTGAAAAATAAAAATTCTAGAGAAATATAACTCAATAATCAAACATAATAATAGATATGTAGCAATGAAATTCCCGAGCAAATTAATGATCCTGGAAGTAAAAAAATTCTCCACTTTAGTATAGGCATATTGACATATAGATTTCTTCTTTTAAAGAAAACATGATTAATCTTGTATGAAGTATTTGCATAATATCCACCACTGTTTGTAAGAGACTTTTCTCACGAGGGGAATTAAATCCTGATGTGAATTCATCGTATATGAGTCCTTCGATAAATATAAAAAAAAATTGTAAAAAAAGAAAAAAAAGTTGTTGGCAACTTAACAAACCCCTCCACTCAATTGGCAATTTAGCTTACAATTTGGGTCATTTGGCAAACCTAGCCTTAGAGGTGATCATCATGACCCAGCCAGTCTGTTAACCCAATCCGGTCCTGATAAAAAAGTGCGGATTTAGGCAAATTTAAAATCATATTTTTAGTTAAAAATCCGAACTTAACCTGAAAGAAAAGTTCGTTTTGACTCGACAAGCCCGACATTTTTTTTTAGAAGTGGCCGAATTTTGATTACCTCATTACCTCACCTGGCCCTCAAAAATAATTACTCAGTTATTTCACCATTAGAACACAAGCCAAAGAAGAAACAAGAAAGAGCGTCCTTCTTCTTTTCCACTATTTTCCCCAAATTTAGAAATTGAAGATCAAATTGAGAGGAAACGTTTTAGGGCATATTCAAACTCTTCCAGAAATCGAAGTCATTTACTCGCTAGGTATTAATCTTTATCTTATATTCTTTCGAATTAATCTTGGTTAATTTTACACTGGCTTGCATAGCTCAAATAAAATTTCTGATTTATTTTTGAGTTTTATTTTGGAATTTTGATAAATATGGGATTCTGCTCATACTCGTGATTATACTGTCTTCATATTCATCTTCTGTAAAACGCAACTTTCTGTGTTTGTTGATTTTGTTCAACTTTAAATATTCGATTTCGGATTTGAATCTTTTTGGTATGTAATAAATTATACTTAGTATCTAACAGTTAGGTTAATATACACTGTCCTCCATTGTTGATTTAAGTTCTGGCTTATTGGAACTTTCAAATTCAGACTGTCACGGTTTTGGAAAATGTAACAAATTTTCGAACAATCCAAAATAGTATATGTGGCTATTAATTCCATATGGAAAGAAATTTTTCTTTACCATGATAGTTTAACTCATTTCCTCCGAAGAGCCGACCAATTGATGTTATTTATCCATCCACATTGCAGCACCATCCATGAGAATCAAATCCTTAGTCCAAGCTGACAGCTTAAAGCATTGCTAATTGTTTTACTAATTCTATGTCGATTTATGTCTTTTACGTGTGAATTATGTGTGTGTTTGTTTTAATATTATTTCTGTCAAGAAATTTCCCACTGTACTATTTGGAATAAATTTTACTTTAAAATTTAGTTTATTCCATATTCGAGCTAATTACTTAATGTCTGGGAACGATATATTTATTAGCTTAATAATAGTTATCATTGTTGAGCATCTCACGACATATGAGTGATTGTGTGCATTCTTGTTGCAGATGATAAAAGAGGTGTATTCATATCAAAATTATTGGCAGCTTTATTGTGCATGATGATTGAACTCTTTTTATCAAAACCTATTTGGGGTGATGATAAGAATTCTGATTCTGCTGACCTAAGAACGCCCCTCTACAACGAGTTGGAAAAGATCATATGGGGACTTATTACCTCTGAAGGCCGGTCAGAGGCTAGATTGTGGCTTTGTGAGGCTATTTCTAACTTAAGTTCAATCACCCCATCTGAACAGCGTGACCTATTTATGAGGTTGTTGAAATCCAAGCCTCGTAAGTGGGATATTGCTTCTCAAGTCTTTCAAATGCTCTTTGACAGGAGGCCACAGAAAGCTGGGATAATTTTGGCTAAGAAATGTCACAGGCTTGAAAAGTTCTTTGAAGGTAAGTTAGTTTTGTTGCTTATACTTTATGCTGATGCTTAAAGTACTTGTTTTTAGCAGTAATTTCTCTGTATATGATTCTACTGTTACTGAGTAGTAGTTACCTACTTATTGTAGCTCCTTCATCCGATTTCCATAGTTTTAATGCCACGATTTATTGCTATTATCAATCCTGTAAATTTATATTTATTTTTATAAACGAGGCAAATTGAGCTGTTTCTGGAAGTCTTTGCTATATAACTCTACAGAATTATCTGATTCTAGCATGATATTTGATCAATGCAGGACATCCCAAACGAATCTCGCAATGGTTTTCAACTTTTTCTATTGTGGGTGATTCAGCACATGGTAAGGGTGCAAAGTCACTGGCCCAGTTTGCCTTTGTGAACAGGGACATATGTTGGGAAGAGCTTGAATGGAAAGGAAAACATGGTCAGTCACCAGCAGTTGTTGCAACAAAACCTCACTATTTTCTTGATTTGGATGTTCAACGCACAGTGGAGAATTTTATAGAAAATGTACCTGAGTTTTGGTCGTCAGAGGAATTTTCAGAGTCTTTAAAAGATGGTGAAATATTATCAGTCGATACTAAGTTCTTTATAGATTACTTCATTGATTTAATGTATGAAGATAATCTGAAAGAAGTCTGGGAAGTTGTTGGTCATTTTTTTATGGATGAATCTTTTTCTTATCTTTGTAAACATCTTTTAATCATTCTTGATGAGCGGGACCTATCTTCTTTTTTGCTGATGCTTCACGATCTTCTTACTAGAAGAAAGAGACTACTGAATTTCGATAACACATCTTATTGGCTGGAGATCGTTATTTGTAAGTGTGGTGACCAAGTATCTATCGACCAGTTGTTTCTGTTGAATGTGTTGTTTAATAAAGGAAGGCCACTTATACGGTTGGTACATAATGAAGGGACTGAGGAGGAGATGGCTAGAATTAGTGATCTAGCTTTAGAGATCTGTACAAATACAAGTGAAGCCAAGAGTTTGGCCCTGATTTCCAAGGGACAATTAAACTCAAAGACTATAGAAGTGATGAAATGGCTTGGCCTTCTTTCATGGAGCCTTCTTTACAGGTTATCTAAGGAAGGTCATACTTCTGAATCCTGGAAAGCACTGTTTGTCAGTAATAACATTGGCTTTCGCAAATCTGGTATATATGGCATAGAACGTGATGGAAATTCAGACGAGAATGAACTGGACTTTGGTGATGAATCAGCAACTAATGCTAAACATAGAAGGAGGCAAAATAAAAGAAAGAAAAGGAGAAGGAACCGAGATTGTGATAAATTAAGTGATGAGGATTTGCTTGACCTTGACGATTCAAATGATAAATTCAGTACCCAGTCTAGTTCTAGAAGTTGGTTGCTCTCTACTGATGGCTATTCAACTTCTTGGAGCCTGGTATGATTTATATTCTTTTTTGTTGGTCTATTGATTTCTGGTAAATTTGATTTATCAGGCGTGATAACGTTATTGATCTGTTGGTTTTTCAGGCTGATATACCAGAACATTTGTCAAAGCATTGTTTGAGAGAATGGATGAAGCAGACTTTTGATGATTGGAGTGAAGCCACCTAATTTGTTTCTGGAAATGTTTGTTCCTTAGAAATTTGTGAAATTCACAAAAAATATGGGTTTGGATAATGATGGTACGGCTCTACAGAGTCCATCACCATCTAAGTGTCATCATACTTGTGTATTACTGAAAATTTGTACGCGGGATGCAGGCAAGAACAGTTCAATAAGCAGACACCTGAATGCATTAATTAGTGGATGATCTTTGATGTGAGTTCACATCTTTTTAGATCTAGCTACTTCTTTAATATTCTCAGAGAACTCTGTTTTTTCTCTTTCTTCATTATTTCTCTCCTCTATCCAGTGTTTTTTATTGTTGAATGCTGCTCACACTTTTGTGGTGGTTTCTTCTCACTTTCTCAGGTATCATTCACCAAGATCCTACCGGATTCTGACAACTGGTGAGATACTACGATGCTGTGTTGTCCTTGTAAATGAAGCTTTGGCAGAGTAAATTTTCCCTGATCTGTACTCATATGTTGCTCGAAAGAAGTTTGATCAATTCTTCTGTGATGTAAATAGCATGGGCTATGGATGGTTATAAAGATGTTCAATATTTTGTAGCTTAAATTTTGAGTTTTTGACCGAGGAACAAAGCCTGTGGCATTGTAAAAGTATGGCAATTTTAAAGTTGTAAAAGCTATATGCCATTTAACCAGTGAATACTTTTTGCAAAGAGTGGCATAAGAGGTTATATAGGACTTGTTAGGCTGAAAGTAGGCCATTTGAGTTCACATTTTTTTTTTTTTCTCAGCATTTTCATTGTTAGATTTGAGTGTTATTTAGTATTAAAGATCGAATTTTGAGATAAATGTGCCATGCTGATCATAGTGTTAAGACCTAGCCATCTAGGCATTATATATATATATATATATATATATATATATATATATATATATATATATATATATATATATATATATATATATATATATATATATATATATAATAAAAATAAAAAAAAAAAAAAAAAAAAAAAAAATAAATAAAAAAAAAAAAAAAAAAAAAAAAAAACTTGCAGCTATCTCTTTAAACTGCATTATCCTCGTCAACCACTAGTGCAGAAACATCCTTGGTGGCTCCCTTGTCATAGTGCTGGTTGTGGCAGCACCTGAACCACCATCTCTCCCACAATCTCATTGAATGTATCATCGTCCCAATTGCAATGGTCCAATGCATCTGTAAAGCAAAAGGGAAAATATACTTCTGGAATGATAATGACGGAATGGAACTCAGGAAATGCAGCAAAGAAACAGGATAGGCATCATCTGGAAGTAACAGATTTTGTTGCTATTAAAAGCAGTACTGTATAAAAACTAAAAATGCTTCTGAAGGTGAGGCTTTTAAGTTTTAACAATTCAATAATAATGCATAAAAAATCACAAATTCTAACCAGTGTATTTAATCCTTTCCTATATAAACAAAAAAACATCAAAAACTCGGGTATTGACTACAGAAAAGGATGTTTAGATGCCATTCTATTCCTTGATAAATATCTGTAACTTGTATAATGTAATCAAAACCGTGGGTATGACATTATGACTGTATGAGCATAGCAATGGCATTAATACGTTCATTGAAACTACAGTAGTAGACAAGGACAGAAGGAGTGTTAAGTTTGTAACCAAAGGGCTAACAAGAAAACACATAGGCACTTCACTAATGACACAGGAAATTGGCTTAAAGACAGGTGTGCCAAGAAAAGTATTCATTATATAATATATATGCATTCTGATCCAATCTTAACCTAGAAAGTGGTTAACTAACAATTCAAAAAAATCTGCACAAATTCATCTAAGCATCTAGGAAAGGTCAGCTGTCGTCCATCTCTTCTTCTCCATTATCACCATCAGACACCTGTTTATTATCCTCGGCAGCCACCTGTGCAGTATTATTCTCATCAGTCGCTTGTGCACCATTATCTTCAGCAGTTCCCTCCTCATCCATATTTTTCTGGTCCGGACGAGGTGGCAGCACTTGAACTATCAGCTCTGCCATCTCATCCAACGTATCATCATTCCAATTGCGCTGTTCCAATGCCTCAATGATCTGTAAATAAAGAGAGGGAGGGAAACTTATGATAAGAATGCAACTCAGAAATACATCAAAGAAACAACACAAGCACTGCCTGGATCAAAGGTACAACAGAAATAAGAAGAAAATTTTGAAAAAGACTTTCAAGGTAAAGCCATAGCAATTACATAAATACGAAATACTACAAACTAGAGGCATATGCATTAAACATAACAAACTTGATCATTAATCAACAAAAGGGATATTAAGAAGCCATTCTAATGATTCTATTCCAGTTACTTGATAATTATCTTGCTCAGAAAAGTCAGAATCTACCTCTTCAATAAGGAATGAAATTTCCACTCTATTTCGAGAGCTTGTTTTGTTAATAAGCTCTTACTGTATAATGTCTTGCAGTCAGCACAGCTAGCAAGGGCTAAACTGGTGGAAGGAGTAGGTGGTCTTCAAAATCACCTTAAACTCAGATCTCACCAGAAACATATATGCAAGGTTTTCTCCTCCCCCACCCCACCTATGTGTCCTAGGCCATAAGCATAGACTTAACCAACTTCTAAACCTGTGACTGGCGTCGCAACTAAATTGCCCACCCCCACTATTTATCTACCAAAAAAAAAAAAGTTTTGTAGCTAGAGCAGAGGCTTGCTATGATTAATGTCAAAGTCAATGAGATAATACCATAGTAACCAGGAGGTCCCCTCAAGAGTAAAACATCTTTATTAAGTTGCATTTGTGAATGAACTACAATCCAGTCATCTTTTTGTACTTAGAAAAAGATGACATGCAGATTGGTTTCCAAGTTCTACATTATCTTTCTAAATCTTCCTCCTTGGTTTCTTTCCAAACTCAAAACCAAGCCAAATACTTTAGGATTTTTGAATTAACATGAGCCATAGATTTGCTTAGTGTTGGATTGAGGGGTGCCATAAATAATCTTCATGAGCTCAAGTTCAAGATCATTATCTATTGTGAGGTGCAGGATTCTAGGATGAAGATGAGAAGTTGTTGAATAAGCTCAGTGGGAAGGAAAGTCGAGGAATGAAAGAAATAATAAAAAAAAGTGTTCATAAAAGCTCAAATCCAGCTCATATGGAGCCTCAAAAAAACTATAATCCACAACTGAACTAAACTTTACACATCCACATTCAAGGAAGTAATTTACACTGCAGTTGGTGGTCGGGGAGAATCAAGTAAAGCTTGTTTCTCATTGCATAGAGCTAAAGTTGGACCAGGATACAATTACCACTAGGTTCATTTTCAATAGAGATAAGGAAAGGAAAGAAAAGTAAATCTGGGAGAATGAGAAATCAAAATATTTAAATTAGATTCAATGAGGTGTTTAGCCCAGCAAAAAAGGTGTCATAAATTTGAATTGAGGAATAGCTGTATTTCTTTACCTCGTGAATATTACAACTAAAGGGGTCTCTGTGAAGCATAAATCAGACTCTGGAGAAAATCTGGACCAGGCCACCTCAATCTCTATAAGGCACTTTGAACTTTGAAGCATAAATCATCATAGGACATACAAATGCCACAACCTCATGAATTAGTCTTTCCTCATTCATTAAAAGTTCATTTGAAAAGAGAAATTACTGTTCTGGGCACATTCAGTAATTTCTCCAAGTTAAATTCGTAAAGAGAAATTACAGTTCTGGGCACATTCAGTGGAATATAAATATCTTCCATTAGTGTTCATTATTCATCAGCAGTTCATCTGAATGGGAACGAGTCAGGGTTTGCAGTGTATGTGAATATTTAGCAGTAAATTATAGGAATACAAAACATCATTTTGTTTGATGTCTATCATAAGATGACTAAGAACTTGCATCTAGGTTGAGCTTACTTTTCGATATCTTAGAAAGTACACCCTCCGTCCCATAACTTTGTGCCTGTATTCCTTTTTGGGTGTCCCAAAACGTTGTGCCTGTTTCTAAAAATAGCGCATAATTATTACTTATTTTTTATCTTTCTCATACAAAATACACATATACCCAAAAAATCATTACTTATTTTTTCTCTTTTTCATACAATATTCTCTACTTTTTATTATTCCCATACAACATTCTCTACTTTTTATCTTTTCAATAAAATATTCCCCTACTTCCACCATTCTCCTTAATATACCGTGTATTTTGAGAAATAGGCACGAAATTATGGGACGGAGGGAGTAAAATTAAGGAACTTATCCTACAGCTAATACTTGCTAATGATTCTATCCTAATTCTAAGCATTAATTAGATTATGTAAAATTTACTACAAGATATGCTTCCTATCGATAGCAAGGTTGCATAAAACAAAACCTAACATGAAGAGGCCATTGCAGTATAAAAAAAAGTTCTGAGCGCATCCAACCTTATCAGACAGAGAACAACAACTCAAAATCACCAACATTTACCAATTGCAAACACTCATTTACAGAGTACTAGCCAAGCAAAGGACATGGAAGAATTATGCAAAAACAATCACAACTATAGAATGTAGAAGATTTAAAAGACAAAATTGAGAAAAGATATTCAACAGAATAGTACCGGAGCCAATTCGACTGCAGAAGAGGGGCGATTGTTAATGATGTTGATCAACTCAGCTTTAGGTAGCTGATACTCTTTGAAGTTCGCTATAAAATCATTGATACTTTCTCTAGTCTGATCACAAGCAGCACTCTCAACCAAATAATCATAAACCTAAACCAGAAATTTTTTTTAAAAAAAAAAAAAAAAAAAAAAACAGCAACTGTAGGTATAATTGTCTCCATATCACGAAATCGAAAACACGGCATTCAGCTTTAAAAAATGGAAACGATTATAGCTAAAGTATCGACCTTGAATTCTGACAGTTTTAACAAAGACATAGCCCGGGTAGGATCCTTGGAAGCCCCTCTCGATCGTAATAAATCGAGCACTTCGAAATTAGTAAGGAGGCCAGCATTGATCTTTAAGCTGCAACAATTTTCATACCAAATACTAATTATAATTACTACCTCCGTTTCATATTATCTGCAACTACTTGACATTTTATAAGCATATAAATAAGATTTAGAATAAATGAATGATAAATGACTAATTAAGAGTGAGAAAATGTACATTTTCATGTGAATTCAATTGAAGAAAACCGCAATTACAGAAACTGATGGCTTCTGCACATATACCAAATACAATTCAATACAAAATAAGCGCAAATTTCACATGAAAAAATTAAACCAACAACTGGAATTAAACCCCCAAATTCGAAAGTTTAATTGAGCTGCTTGCTAATGTAAAAATCAACCAAAAATAAATTCGAAAACGATTAATTACCTCGCGAATGATTGAGTTCAATTTCTGGGAAAGTTTGATTATGCCCCCAAATCTTGTTTTCAATTGGTTCTGATTTTTGAGTTAGGGTTTAAGGGTTTTACTACATTAATTTTGGGAATGATTGGAAGGTTTTAGAAGACAGGAGCACAGGGCGCAGTGGTCTGTGAAGGGAGAGAATCAGAGAAATGAGTGTGATTTTGAGTCCTGGTTTTGTTGCTGGCTTATTGGCACAAACACCTAAAGGTGTTAAAACATGACACAACCAACCCGACTCGAAAGCGACTCGTCGAAAAATATCTAATTCAGATTTTTATTTACATTGACATAATAATTTAGCATGACTCAAATATTCAACCCAATCTCACCAAATCCGACCCTGACACCCCTAGGATAGTGGGATACACCACTTAAAATCAAGATTTGGGCCATCAGTTTATAAAAATCTTTTATCACAAAGCGATGTTGCAACACTGTCTAATATGGAGTACAAAGTAAAATTGTTACTCCTTATTCAAGGTACCAACTTTAATAGGTAAATTTGCTACTCATATCATAAATAATAAGTTATATAAGCAAACCGTTGCTCAAAATATTAAGTAGCTTTTGGTCTTGCCAATTTAGATAATAAGTTTCATTTGGAATTTTAGATACAGAAACGTAAATTAGTTGTTGAAAATCTTGACATATCATAAATGTGTGGATTGTTTCTTAATCAACTCATAGAACTACTTCGTATATATAATCAAAACAATCTAAAGCTTCATTTGTTTTGATTGTAAGAATTTTTCAAAGAAAACAGTACTCAATGGAAACATGATTGTGAAAAGGGTTTTCCTATGTTTGATTACAGGAAAAATAATACATTAAAAAAAAAAATGAAAGTAAAGGAAAGGGAAGAATAGAGGAGAGAAAACAGAGAAGAGTAAGAGGAAAGAGCTTTGCGTCAATATTTTGTACAGCGTTTTCTTGTAAAAATAGACTAAATAAATGCGTTACAACAAGAGCCAGTAACATCATTTCAGGCCACACAAACAACATATTTGTATGGTGATAGACTAATAAAGCAATAATTGTCAAGACAAGTGATCATATGCAAAGTACTGAACGTGTGAACAGTCTGCAGCATGACTCTGATAACTGGCAAGGACAGTAAGGAAAAATCTCGTCTCGTGTGAGAACTTTTGTTATGCGGAGTAGTATGATATCCGATGGAAAATAATTTGCAGGACTCGGCTAATGAATTTGGATGCTAGAGGGGTCAGTCCCAGCGCTTCAGTGATAACCCAACTGCATCTGGAAGAGCCTTCGTATCAAATTGCAATTGACTTATAAGCTCCAATATTTCCTAGCCCTGTTCAATGACAGAAGAAGCTTTTTAGCAGAAATCCAAAGTCACATAGCAATTAACTAAGTAAAGGTATCAATCTCATGTTGTACATAGAACCCAACATGGAACGACACCATAAGTTAAAATCATAAACTTGATTGAAATAATAGTCATCAACAACCAAATCTTCCGATTTCAAAAACTTCTGTTCAAAATTTCAAATGCCTTATATCTGTCTAGACAATAATGAGATGCTACTTCATTGATTTGACATAGCAGATGGCTATAGAAATCATGGAGATACATATCTACTATAAGCTGATTATGATGACTATCAAAACAAAGATCCAACTTCTGCGTTCCACTGTAATTACTTGGCCTGCAGTATATGCAAACATCACGGACTAAGTTATCAGTAATGAAGTCTAGAAGAAGATTTTGATATTCAAAACACTCTGATGTTAGCATGGAACTTGGAATAACTGCACATGCATGATACAACCGAGTTTATTGATAACAAACTTTGTTTGAGGAAGTGAGTTGGCAGTCTTGGCATATGCAAAAACATATGAATGAATCAACAGAAATTCAGAAAGAGGAATCCTTAACATTGTCTGACAATCTAAGATGCTAATATAACATTAATGAAGAACTGTTATTGATTGGTTACGAGCTCATTAGTCATGAGTTCATGACTATGTGTTGTTCCTTCACATCCACTTCACAGCTATACTCCATCAGTTTACTAGTAGGCAAGAAGATTTAACTCTTGTCAAAATATAAACTTGTGCGAAATTATGTTCATATTTGATTGGTACACAGGTTTAACTTATAACTTGTGGGGAGGGGGGAGGGGATTAACCTGTCACATATAAATCAACCAAACACATGTACACAAAATAAGCTCAGCGCAATAATGGTTATAGTTTCAGTGACACAGCTACAGAAATAGAGCTGCTTGCTTTACTTGGCAATCAGCTCTCTGTGTCCTACTGAATAGCTAGTCAAACTATATTAGATTAATTAATTCAGCACGTACAATATACTATGCATCTGCATTAAATGAATGAGCAAAAGATTAAAGAAAAGCACTCTCAAATACAAGTAAAAATAAGCCCTTTACTTAAACAAGAACATTTCTTAAGGCAAAAAAATTGAACAGAGAAATAGATTCATAGTCGCTCCACACAACATTCAAGGGGACATAATCAGAGAGGTACTGTATTTTCCATAAGACTCAGATGAAAAAACCCAAAAGAAGAGTGAGTATATGGTCCTTCCTACCCTCACTCCTTTCTATCTTCTTATCTTTCATCCGTCCTTTCTTTCTAATTAATTCGATTAATTCAACAATTCTATCCAAACAAAAGTTCCAGTAGTTTTATTCCTCCTCCAGCTACACAGGACTACAGGAGCCTTGTTCATTAGATAGCTGATTTAAATTTTACAGTGCGATTCAGACCACCGATGATAGGCCAAGGTTCCAGAAATATGGACTGATTTGCTTAAAGTCTGTAATCTAAATGATATCATTCAAAAGATTAGTAATGGAATAAAGGGAGATCTATCTGAAAGTTAATTACCATGAAGGGAAAATAATCAATCCTAAGGAGTCAAAGGTCAGAGTACCACATTTTTAAGTTCAATATTGATTAACAAAGATAGATGATAAGCCTTTAACACTTAGATGGGTAGGAAAGAGGAGGAAAAAATGCAAAACATGAAGTCGTACTAAAACCTACCATGTCTTATTTGTAAGTGGCCCCCGCCAAGAATGAGGTAAGTTTATGAATCATATTGTGCTATCTTACCCCCAGCAGAGGCAGTTTCTACATAATCTTAAATTAAAAAGGCATCAAACTAAGCTACTTAACAAGCAATAAAAGTTTAATGAGAGAGTTCAGTTAGTCCACATACCAATACAATTGGCAATACACCAATACATAACATACAACAATATATATGAAGAGCTTACCTGAAGAATCATAAGTTGGTAAGCTGACATACTTTGGACATGAGCGTTTTGAATAATCCACCTTTTGTTTAATTCTGATGTCAGTTGCACAATCTCGAGGCTGTATGTCATCAAAAGTTTAAAACCTTGTAGTTAGATCTGGATGAAAGAGATCAATACAAGATTTACAGACAATAACTTGAGAAAGCAGAAAATTATTGGAAACTTCAATTAAATAGACACTTTAGTAAAATTTCTCTGCCAATCTTCTAAGAACTATAGCGAATATTGTTTCCTTCTCCACAGTATAAAAGTGAAAAATAAAATTTTAGAATCAAAAGTCCAGGAAAATTGTGCATGAACACAACTTTTCACACGAAGCAGATTAATATGAGACAGCTAAAGAGGTTGAAAGTAGGAACACAATAATCAGAACTAACCTTAAAATCCTTATAGAAACACAAATATAGTTCCTTTACAGCATCACCTGAGCAAGCTACTACAGGTGACAAGTGAAAAGCATTTTCAATGGCAGAAATTATGCCACCAAGCGGATATTTTTCGGTATTTGAAGGCACATATCCAGCTTCAAACAGAACTTGCTGCAATAGTGCATCAAAATCTATTAGTGAGTAAATTAATAGGCTAAAAGCTTGAATTAACAAAAAAGAGATACCGATTAGAATAAGAAAATTTTGAGTGGATTTTCAGTACAGCATATGGGATAAAAGAGACAGAAAATCTCTCAATCCTTAAATATATTTTCCAAAGCACTCACGGTGACATTATATTTGAAGTAAACGTTGAGTCCTGTCAGAAAATAATTATACTCATCTCGTACCACTGGAGAAGAGCAAGTCCCATGCTTTTCTGAAATACATACCACAACAAATAAAGGAATAAAATGTTAGGTTAACAAGTGAATTTACATTTCAAGATTACAAGCTAAAACATTAATCACATGTCCTCAGGATTTAAATCTGTTGGCACAAAGGTACCTGGTCAATTGGTCATAGCTCTATAAACCATACTAGACCATTACCCATGTGCTTCTCCAGCAGCCAACAAGTCTTGCCTATGAATTAAGGGGAATTATATCTACATAAAATTATGCCTATCATTACAAAGTGAGTTTTTCCTATAAAACCTTGGGTGGAAAGGGATTAACCTAGATCTTCATGATAACAAGTAAAAGACCTTTTCACAAAATAATTACTATAATCCATTGTAGTCCAAAGAGACAGAACATGATTTTGTTTAGGTATGATTCCTATATTTGATCCAGTACTAAACAACATTTAGAACCCAAGTGGATATTCTTACTAAGCCCATGTCAGCATTAAAATCGATTCTCTCTATTAAGACTCTTGCTTGTTGAGGCAATTGCAGCAAAATCAAAGATTTTAAGGACAAGCATCAAGTAGTTGTCAAATTCACCACATTTGATGATTGCATTACTTCTAATACACAAGAAAGACGGATAAATTACATGACTACCTTGAACCCAAGAAACTTTTTGGACTCTTCACAAGGCAAAACTAATAAATCTCTCTATTCAGCACAACTCCAACTTACTAGTCATTCGTCCGAAAAATGTAAAATCTCTGACACAAATTGAAGTAAGAAATAATGAGAAGGCAAAGATGCTTACCCCACTGACATGTTGATCATTCAAAACAGGCACCACAAGGATACAAAAGAGAGGCATAGTTAGATACATAATGGGAAAATATATAAATACAAGTAAGTCCATGATTTTAGTAATTGATTCGTAATAACCACCTCATGTCCCCAAAAGGAGCCTTTATGTCCATAACATGATGATGGTGAGCCACAGCTTAGAGTTGGCCAATACTCGTCTAATGCTTTGCGCAATGTTGATATCTAGAACCCAGAAAAGATAGGAAAGAGTCATGAAAGAAAATATCTTGGTCCATTTCATGTTAGAA